GGGGAGGGCCTTTGCCTGGCACGCGGCCAACCCAGGTTCGATCCCCAGCATCCCATAGGGTACCCCTAGTGATTCCTGAGTGCGTGAGCCAGGAGTAACCCCTGAACATCGCTGGTTGTGACCTAAAAAGCAAAAAAAAAAAAAAAAAAAAAAAAAAAAAAAACCCAAAAAAAAACAGAGAGAGAGAGAGAGAGAGATCGTGGCAGCGCCCCTGATGCCACGGGAGCATGCAATCTCCACACACAGACAGATGCATGCCAGCATCTCCTCAAAAGGCGTGGGAGCTCCCCTCGGCTGAGCAGATGTGTATCTGGACACACACACACACGCACACCCCACAAAGCACCACAATAAGATGTGCACAAGTTGTCTCACAGATCTCACAGATGCAAGTCATGCTCACATGAGACGCGTGTCTGCTACATACACCATGCACTACATACGTCATGCAGTTTTGGAATTTTTTATTTATTTATTTTGCTTTTTAGGTCACACCCGGCGATGCTCAGGGGTTACTCCTGGCTCCTCTGAACTCAGGAATCAGTCCTGGTGGTGCTTAGGGGACCCTATGGGATGCTGGGAATCGAACCCAGGTCAGCCGCATGCAAGGCAAACGCCCTCCCTGCTGTGCTATTGCTCCAGGCCCACGTCATGCCTTTTTGTCATCGTCAGTCGGGGCCACATCTGTGGCTGTCCTGGGTCTGTGGTGGTGGGGGATGTGGGGGTCTGCTCCCAGCAGTACTTAGGGGGCCCTGTGCTATGTCTGGGAGTCACTCTGGAGCCACGTACAAGGCCAGAAAGTTCCTTCACCTCTGTACTCACTCTCCAGGCCCGTGGGTGCCACTTTGACCACATGTGCGAATGACCCTGATCCTTGCAGTGACATATGGGAGGGACAAGGCCGGAGCAATAGTCCAGCAGGGAGGGTGTTTGTCTTGCAGTCAACCAACCTGGGTTCGATCCCCGGCATCCCATACGGTCCCCCGAGCACCGCCAGGAGTAATTCCTGAGTGCAGAGCCAGGAGTCAGCCCTGAGCATCGCCAGGTGTGACCCAAAAGGCAAAAAACAAAACAAAACAAAGCAAAAACAAAACCTCTCTCTGTTCTGTGTCACGTCTGATCCATCTCGAAGCTCCGGTGGGAAAAAAATCAGAATCAACTTCTTTCTCTTGTTGGCCCCTAGAGAATATTACTATGCCGACGGATGAGCTGAAGTCACTCTCCGCTAACAAGGACGAAAGTCAAGAAATCTGCAACCTGGCGAGCGGGGTCATCCTGAAAAACTTGTCCCCCCCATCTTCACTGAAAGGTACTGGCCAGGTGGGCTGGGGGGCAAGGGGGACAGTCAGCTAGCCCCACCACCCCCATCTACTAGGTATGGGCCCCCCCCGTTTTTTTAATCAATCTCTGTGTTTATTTATTTATTTAATTTTTGTAAATGGAATCACAATGAGACACAGTTACAAGGCTGTTCATGATTGAGTTTCAGTCATATAATGTTCCAACACCCGTCCCTTCACCAGGGCACATTTCCCACCACCAGTGTCCTCAGTTTCCCTATTGCTCCTCTATCACCTCACCCCACCTGCCTCTGTGGCAGGCACTTCTCTCTCTCTCTCTCTCTCTCTCTCTTTCTCTCTCTCCCTCCCTCCCCCCTCCCTCCTTTTGGGACTTATAGTTTGCAATACTAGTACTGAAAGATTATTATCAGGTATATCCCTTTGTCTACTTTCAACACTCAGTTCCTGTCCATAAGGATCATTTCCAACTACTATTGTCCTACTGGTCCCTTCTCTATCCTAACTGCCCTGTACCCAACCCCCCAACACACACACACACTTTTTTTTTTCGCTTTGGGTCACACCCGGCGATGCTCAGGGGTTCCTCCTGACTCTGCACTCAGGAATTACCCCTGGCAGTGCTCAGGGGGGACTATATGGGATGCTGGGATTCGAACCCGGCTCAGCCACGTGCAAGGCAAACGCCCTACCCGCTGTGCTATCGCTCCAGCTCCCCTGACACACTTTTGTGGCAAGCTTCCAACCCACTGACCAGTCCTCCTGGGCCCTGGATATATGGCCCCTATATTTATTTATTTATTTATTTATTATTTCTTTTTGGGTCACACCAGTGATGCTCAGGGGTGACTCCTGGCTCTGCACTCAGGAATCACTCCTGGCAGTGCTTGGAGGACCCTATGGGATGCTGGGAATCGAACCCGGGTCGACTTCCTGCAAGGCAAGCACCCTCCCCGCTGTGCTATCACTCCAACCCTGGCCCCTGTTTTTAAAAGAAGAAAAATGGTAGATGTTGGTGCAACAGTGCAGGGGTTACTGCACACACCAGGCATGTGGACCCTGACTCGATCCCTGGCACCCCATCAGATCCCCCATGCCCCTCCACGAGCGATCCCCTGAGCACAGAGCCAGGAGCAAGCCCTGCACACTGCTGAGTGTGGCCCCGAAACAAAAACACAAAGCATAAACTATGGGGGCTGGAGAGTACAGTGGTTAGGGCACTAGCCTTGCTCAGGTCCATCTTTGTTCCATCCCCAGCACTGCATAGGGTCCCCCGAGCCCTGCCAGGAGCGATCCCTGAGCACTGAGCCAGGAGCAAACCCTGAGCACTGACAGGTGTGGCCCCCCCAAATGAAATCAAAAGGACAGGAGAGAAAGCACAGGCCATAAGACACTGGCCTTGCATGTGGCCAGCTCAGATTCAGTCCCCAGCCTCCCAGAGGGTCCCCTGAGCCCCACCAGGAGTGATTCCTGAGTGCAGAGCCAGGAGTCACCCTTGCCCACTGCCAGGAACTGCCCCCACCAAAAAAAATTATATTTCAAATATCTCGGGGTTGGAGAAAAACACAGAAGACTCTTGCCTGGTGCTTGCAGAAGACCCAGGTTCGATCCCCTGCATCTCAGATGGTTCCCTGGGCACTGCAGGAGTGATCCCTGAGCACAGAGCTAGGAAGGACTCAGCACTGAGCACCGCTAGGTGTGACACCCCCCCAAAAAATATATATATATATAAAGGCAGATCACCTAGAATTTGATGACATTTGGCGCGGGGGTGTCTGACCTCCATCCCCCCCCCCCACAGCACCTTTGCCAGTCCCGGTCTCAGGGGATCCACAAAGCCGGATCTGGCGACTGCAGCTTTGAGCCGGGCTCACTGCACGCGGGGCTGGACAGACTTATGCACGCGGGCTGGGTACATGCGCCCAGCGGCTGGGTGCATGCACGCAGGAGCTGGACGCGCACACGCGGGGCTGGGCTCACGCACGCGGGGCTGGGTGCACGCACGGGGCTGGGCGCACGCAGGGCAGGACGCATGCGCGCGTGACTGGATGCACTTGGGACTCGGCGCACCTGGGCCTGGGCACACGCGGGCCTGGGTGCATGCACGCAGGGGCTGGGCGCACACACGTGGTTTGGGTGCACGCATGGGGCTGGACGCACACGGGACTGGGCACACGCACGGGGCTGGGCACACGCGGGACTGCGTGCACACACAGGACTGGGCGCACACACACAGGGCTGGGTACATGCATGAAGGGGCTGGGCGCCCGCACACGGGCTTGGGTGCACGTATGGAGCTGGACATACTTGGGGTTGGGCGCACGTGGGTCTGGGTACACGTGGGCCGGGCGCACACTTGCGGGGCTGGGTACATGCACGCAGGAGCTGGGCGCACGCACGTGTGTTTGAGTGCACGCACAGAGATGGGCACACGCGAGACTGCGTGCACACACGGGGCTGGACACCCGCGGGCTGGGCACACACATGCAGGGCTGGGCACATGCACGAAGGAACTGGGCGCACACACGTGGGTCTGGGTGCAACCACAGGGCTGGACGCACTTGGGGCTGACCCACGTGGGTCTGGACACACGTGGGCCAGCAGCACACACGCGGGGCTAGATACATGCTCGTGGGGCTGGGCGCACGCACGTGGGGCTGGGTGCATGCACGGAGCTGGGCACATGCACACACGTGGGGCTGGACGCTCGCACGCACTTGGGGTGGGACGCACTTGGGGCTGGGCGCACGTGGGATGGGCGCTCGTGGGCCGGGCGCGCAGACGCGGGGTTGGGTGTATGCACGCAGGAGCTGGGCGCACACACATGGTCTGGGTGCACGCATGGGGCTAGACACCCGCGGGGTTGGGTGCACGTGGGCCCGGGCGCACACACACGGGGCTGGGCGCATGCATGTGTGTCTGGGTGCGCGCACGTGCGTCTGGGCGCACGCATAGGCTGGACGCATGCGGGATTGGGCGCACACACGCGGGGCTGGGCGCACGCACGTAAGTGGGTCTGGGTGCACACACGGGGCTGACGCACTTGGAGCTGGGCGCACGTGGGCCTGGGCGCACACACATATGTCTGGGTGTATGCATGGGGCTGGGCGCACGACGGACTGGACTCACACATGTGGGTCTGGGCACACGTGGGCAGGGCGCGCACACGCGGGGCTGGGCGCATGCACACGGGGGCTGGGCGCATGCACGTGGGTCTGGTGCACGCACGGAGCTAGACACACGAGGGACCGTGTGCACGCACGGGGCTGGACGCACTCGGGGCTGGGCTCACGCGGGCCGGGCGCACACACGCGGGGCTGGGTACATGCACGCGGGGGCTGGGCACACGCACGTGGGTTTGGGTGCATGCATGGGGCTGGACGCACGCGGGGTTGGGCGCACGTGGGTCTGGGCACACATGGGCTGGGCGCACACACGGGGCTGGGTACATGCACGCAGGGGCTGGGCGCACTTGGAGCTGGGCGCACGTGGGTCTGGGCACACACAGGCCAGGAGCACACGCGGGGCTGGGGACATGGAGGCAGGGGCTGGGCGCAAGCACGTGGGGCTGGACGCACGCACGCACGCGGTCTGGGCGCACGCGGGGCAGGGCGTGCGGGGCTTGCGGGGCTCTGACCGTCCCGCCCGTCCCGCCCCGCAGAAGTGTCGCTGGTGCAGCTCGACAGCATGAGCCTGTCCCACCAGATGCTGGTGCGCTGCGCCGCCATCCTGGGCCTGACCTTCACCACCGAGCTGCTCTTCGAGATCCTTCCGTGCTGGAACATGAAGATGATGATCAAGGCGCTCGCCAAGCTCGTCAAGTCCAAGGTCTTCGGCTGCTACCGGGACGGCCGGATGCTGCGCCTGGCGCTGCGGCAGAACCCGACCTCCGCCGAGGTCCACCACCGCTCCCTGTCGCTGCGGCCGGCGCTTGGCATCAGTGAGTGGGGCCTCCCGGGTGCGAGGGCGGGGGCTGCGGGCCCCCCATCGCGTCCGGGAACCAGCGGCCTCCCGCGCTGTCCAGTCCAGGGCGAGAAGGAGGAGCTGCGGGAGCTGGAGAACGAGGTGATCGAGTGCCACATCATCCGCTTCTGCAAGCCCGTGATGCAGAAGACGGCCTACGAGCTGTGGCTCAGTCACCAGAAGCGGGAACTGCATCTCAAATGCGCGCGCTTCCTGGAGGAGGACGCGCGCCGCTGCGACCACTGCCTGAGCGGCGACTTCGTTCCCTTCCACCACTTCATCGTGGACATCCGCCTCAACACCCTGGACATCGGCACCATCCGCCACATGGCCATGTCCCAAGGCTTCCAACGTAGCGCGCCTGGGCTGGGGGCGGGGAGGGAAGGGGTCCCGAGCCTGGGAATGCAGGGGGGTGTGCAGGGAAGAAAGGGAGTTGGGGGAACGTGGAGGGGGAGGACGGATGGCCCCTCTCCATTGGGCCACTCAGAACCCAGAGGCGTCATTGAAAGCCAGCCCTCACTTTCCCCGGCTCAAGACGGTTCTCTGTTCTTGGAGAACTGGGGAGCACTGGAAAGGGAGCTAAGTTTCCCTGTTTATCCGGAGGCCTGGGAGGGGGTCTAGGGGTGAGCGGGCACACACAAGTCAGAGGCACCACAGCTCGGGAACCAAAGATGCTAAGAAGGGGCCATGGGTGGGGCGGGAGCGATAGCACAGCGGGGAGGGCGTTTGCCTCGCATGCAGTCAGCCCGAGTTCGATTCCCAGCCTCCCATAGGGTCCCCCGAGCACTGCCAGGAGTAATTCCTGAGTGCAGAGCCAGTAGGAACCCCTGTGCATTGCCAGGTGTGACACCAAAAAAAGCAAAAAAAAAAAAAATAGAAGGGACCAAAGCGATAGCCCAGCGGGTAAGGCATTTGCCTTGCACACACGGTCGACCTGGGTTCGATCCCCGGCATCCCATAGGGTTCCCCCAAGCACCACCAGGAGTGACTCCTGAGTACAGAGCCAGGAGGAAACCCTGAGCATCATCCAATGTGACCCAAAAAGCAAACAAACAAGCAAAAAAGATGATCAGAAGAAGGTTGTCGGACTGACCCAGGTCCAATCCCCGGCATCCCATGGACCCTGCCAGGAGTGCTCCCTGAGCACTGCCAGGTGTGGTCTCCAGAATGAAATCAAGGGGATGGGGAGAGCCCGCAGGACGCTGGTCTTGCATGTGGTCCACCTGGTTCGATCCCCAGCCTCCCATAGGGTCCCCTGTGCCCCGCCAAGAGTGATCCCTGAGTACAGAGCCAGGAGTGACCCCAGCTGGGTGTGGCCTCAAAAACCAAAACCAAACCCCCACCCACACCCCCCCCAAAAAAAACAAGGTAGTGAGAGCCAGCCCGTCTGCTGAGGTAGACTTTCCTACATGCAGACACAGAGCTGTGGGGAGCCCCTGGGTCCCCAGAGGAATGTAGGGTCACAGAGAGACCCTCCTCTTCCTTTTTTCTTTTTTCCTCTTTTTGGGCTGGAGCGATAGCACAGTGGGTAGGGCATTCGCCTTACAAGCGGCCCACATGGCCGACCCGAGTTCGATTCCTCCGCCCCTCTCGGAGAGCCAGGCAAGCTACCGAGAGTATTCGATATGCCAGACACAGTAACAACAAAGTCTCCAATGGAGACGTTACTGGGCCCGCTCAAGCAAATCGACGATCAACGGGAGGGCCTTTACCTTTTACCTTTTGGGTCACCCAGTGATGCTCAGGGGTTCCTCCTGGCTCTGCTCTCAGGAATCACTCCTGGCAGTGCTTGGGGGACCCTAGGGGATGCTGGGAATCGAACACGGGTCAGCCGCGTGCAAGGCAAGCGCCCTCCCCGCTGTGCTATCGCTCCAGCCCCAAGACCCTCCTCTTTCTGTTCTCCCAAACGGGAGGGCATCACTCACCTGGCACTGAGAATTGAGGCCTCTTCCTTGATTACAACCCGCCCCCCTCCCCCAGAAACCGGAAGATTTAGCACCACGTATTTCCGGGTATATGAGGGGGAGGGGCGTCCTGCCCCCCACCCAATCAACAGCCCCTTCTCTTTCCACGGGAAGGACTCAGCAACAGTGCAGGCGTCAGGGGCTGTCCCCATCGTCCTTAGCTGTCTCGGGGACCCCCAGGGCCGGGAAGGGTCCAGCCACCTTGGCGGGGAGCACGAGTTGGCAGGATCTAATTGTTCAAGCCAAGCTCAAGTTTCACCTGAACAGTGCCACGGGGCCCAGGAGACAGGCAGTGGGCTGGTTCCGGGTTCGATTCCCAGCATCACCAGGCACAGTTACCTCCCTAGCACGAAGCTGGGGCATGTTCCCCCCCCCCAAAAAAAATAATAAAAACCACTCCTGGGTCACCCCCCAACCCCCGAGTCACCCTCGACATCTGCCTATTTTGCAGAGGAAGAAAAAGTCACCTCTTCCAAAACGGAGGATCCCAGGAAGCTGGAGTTCACCGAGGACATGAGGTACCGGCCTGGACGTGCTGACCGCTGGACATTAGCTCTGCCATGTGGGCCAGTCCAGCTGGGCCCAGAGCTGCCTCCGAGGGCAGGGGCGCGGGGCCTGGCCCGGCTCCTTGTCTGTCTTTGGTTCCGTTTGCCAGCCCTGCTGCAGTGCTCAAGGAGCACCCCGGCCCTCTGCTCGGCCCGCCTGGCTTCCTGGAACGGCCCGGACCAGCTCCTGCGTCCCAGCCTGGAGTTTTCTGTTAGGGGGTTTTGGGGAAGGTGGGGTTTTGGGGGTCCACACCTAGCGGTCCATGGAAGGTGCTCCTGTCTCTGTGCTCAGGAGTGACCCTGGCTGAGCTTGGGGGGGCATAGGTGGTGCCAGGGACGAAGCTGGGGTCGGCCACACGCAGAGCAAGGCCCTTGGCCACGAGGATCTCCTCGGCCTCCTGGGTTTGCTCTGGAGATGTTTTCCGTCCAAAGAGCACCTCCCTCCCCTCCCCTCCTCTCCCCTCCCCTCCCTTCCCCTCCTCTTCTCTCCCTTCCCCTTCCCCTCTTCTGCCCTCCCCTCCCCTCTCCTACTCTCCCCTCCCCTCCCCTTCCCTCCCTTCCCCTCCTTGTCTTGCCCTCCCCTCTTCTCCCCTCCCCTCCCCTCCTCTCCCCTCCCTTCTCTTCCCTTCCCTCCTCTCCTTCCCCTCCTCTCCACTCCCCTCCTCTCCACTCCCCTCCTCTCCCCTCACCCTCCTCTCCCTCCCCCTCCCCTTTCTTCCTCTTCTCTTCCCTCCCCTCCCCTCCCCTCCCCCTCTTCTGCCCTCCCCTCCTCTCCCCTCCCCCTCCTTTCCCTTTCCCCTCCTCTCCCTTCCCCTTCCCTTCCTTCCTGTCCTCTCCTCTCCTCTCCTCTCCCCTCCTCTCCCCTCCCCTCCTCTCCCCTCCTCTCCTCTCCCCTCCCCTCCCCTCCCCTCCTCTCCTCTCCCCTCCCCTCCTCTCCCCTCCTCTCCTCTCCCCTCCCTTCCTCTCCCCTCCTCTCCTCTCCCCTCCCCTCCCCTCCCCTCCTCTCCTCTCCCCTCCCCTCCCCTCCTCTCCTCTCCCCTCCCCTCCCCTCCCCTCCTCTCCCCTCCCCTCCCCTCCTCTCCCCTCCTCTCCTCTCCCCTCCCCTCCCCTCCCCTCCCCTCCCCTCCCCTCCTCTCCCCTCCCCTCCCCTCCTCTCCCCTCCCCTCCCCTCCCCTCCCCTCCTCTCCCCTCCTCTCCCCTCCCCTCCCCTCCCCTCCTCTCCCCTCCTCTCCTCTCCCCTCCCCTCCTCTCCCCTCCCCTCCTCTCCCCTCCCCTCCTCTCCCCTCCCCTCCTCTCCCCTCCCCTCCTCTCCCCTCCTCTCCTCTCCCCTCCCCTCCTCTCCCCTCCTCTCCTCTCCCCTCCCCTCCTCTCCCCTCCCCTCCTCTCCCCTCCTCTCCCCTCCCCTCCCCTCCCCTCCTCTCCCCTCCTCTCCTCTCCCCTCCCCTCCTCTCCCCTCCTCTCCTCTCCCCTCCCCTCCTCTCCTCTCCCCTCCTCTCCTCTCCCCTCCCCTCCTCTCCCCTCCTCTCCTCTCCCCTCCTCTCCCTTCCTCTCCTCTCCCCTTTCCTCCCCTCTTCCGTACCCTCCCCTCCTCTTTCCTCCTCTCCTCTCTCCTCCCCTCCCTTCTCCTCCCTTCTCCTCCCTTCCCCTCCCCTCCCTCCCCTCCTCTCCCCTCCCCTTCCCTCCTCTTCTCTCCTCTCCTCTCCCCTCCTTGGCCCAGCCCTGAGTGCTGTTTGCCCCCTCTGGGAACAGCTTCCAGAAGGCGCGGGAGAAGATCCTGCAGTACTTCGACGGGGTGATCGACAAGATGAAGAAGTCGGAGGACATGATGCCGCTGGAGTCGTGCCAGTGCAAGGAGACGCTGGAGATTGTGCTCCAGCCGCTGGCCCAGCACTTCCTGGCCCTGGGCGAGAACAACAAGGCGCTGTACTACTTCCTGGAGATCGCGTCCGCCTACGTCTTCCTGGGGGACCACTACACGGTGAGGGGGGCCCCTCGCGGCGGCCTAGGCCAGGACACGGCGCCCCGACTCTGTGCCGCCCAGGGGCTTCCGGAGACCAAGCCACGGGGTTAGGGATGCCCTTCTTGATGGGGGTGCCCTTGTTGATAAGGGGTGTCTCTTCTTGATCGGGGGTGCCCCTTCTTGATAAGGGGTCTCCCTTCTTGATAAGGGGGTGTCTCTTCTTGATAATGGGTGCCCGTACTTGGTAGGGGGTGCCCCTTCTTGATAGCGGTGCTCCTTCTTGATAAATGGGTGTCCCTTCTTGATAGGGGGTGCCTCTTCTTGATAACAGGTGCCCCTACTTGATAGGGGTGCCCCCTCTTGATTGGGGGTGCCCCTTCTTGATAAGGGGGTGCACTTTATTGATGGGGTGCCCCTTCTTGATAAGGGGGTGACCCCCCAAAATTTTTTTAAAAATTTAATGGGGCTGGAGCAATAGCACAGTGGGGAGGGGGTTTGCCTTGCACTCGGCCGACCCAGGTTCGATTCCCAGCATCCCATAGGGTCCCCCGGGCACTGCCAGGAGTAATTCCTGAGTGCAGAGTCAGGAGGAACCCCTTGTGCATCATCGGGTGGGACCCAAAAAGCAAAAACTAAAAAAATTTAAAAATTTAAAAGGGGGTGCCCCTTCTTGATAAGGGGGTGCCCCTTCTTGATGAAGCCGGGGGACGGTCCCGACTCCTGCACTGCCTCAGGCTTTTGTGAAGAGACCAAGTCACAGGAACAAGCCTTTAGTGAGCACCGAGGAGAGAGCAGAGCAGGGCCAAGAGACAGTGGCACGCAGCTGACCGGGGTTCCATCCCGGCTCTGTCCGCCATGTCCTCCCCTCCCGGCCATGCTGGCTGGGCTCATCCGCAGCCCAGGAGGAAAGGCTGGCCTCTCCGGGTGACGTGGGGATAGGGCCGTGGGGGCAATGGCCAAAGGAGGAAATAGGGCAGGAATCTGGCAGAGTTCTAGAAAGTTCTAGAACATTCCAGGCTTGCACTCGGGGCAGTGAGATGGGAGCCAGCCTCAGAGGGAAGGGGCTTACCTCATGGGAACCACGCGCCCCCTTCCAATGCAGCCCGCCCTAACGCAGGGTTGGGGCGGAGGGACCGACGCCCCCCACTCCGCTCCTCTTCCCTCCATGCGGGGCCTGCTGGCGCCCTTTTGGGGTTCCTGGACCCCACAGCGCCCCCATCTCCTACTTCCACAGGCTTCCATCTACCTGAACGAGGGAGAGAGGTTGCTGAGACTTTTCAAGAAGAAAAAATCATCCAGCCAGACTTTTGAGCTGGCCACATTCTACAGCCTCAAAGGCCAGGTAAGAACCACATACACACACACACACACACACACACACACACACACACACACCATCAGAAGCAGCAGTACACAGCCCCCCATCCCCTCCCCATGCCCCTGCTCAACCCCCAGTCTCTGCGTCACTGGCCTGCAAGCCCCTGGCTGCACCCCAGTTATTTTTTTAAATTTTTAAATTTTATTTTTATTTATTTATTTATTTATTTATTTATTTTGCTTCTTTGGGTCCCACCCGGCGATGCACCGGGGTCACTTCTGGCTCATGCACTCAGGAATTACTCCTGGCGGTGCTCGGGGGACCCTATGGGATGCTGGGAATCGAACCCGGGTCGACCGCGTGCAAGGCCAACACCCTCCCCGCTGTGCTATCGTTCCAGCCCCGAAATTGTTTGATTTTATAAGTTGCCTTCACAATATTTGATGACATTCATTCAATATTCAAACACCCATTCCACCACCATGACACCTTCCCACCACCAGATTCGGGATGTTTCCATCCCAAGCCCTGTCCCAAAACACCGTCACTGTCACTGTCCTCCCATTGTTCATCGATTGACTCGAGCGGGCCCAGTAACATCCCATTTTGAGACTTGCTGTTATTGTGTTTGGCATCTCGAATACATCACAGGCAGCTTGCCAGGCTTTGCTGTGCGGGCGAGATACTCCCGGTAGCTTGCCGGGCTCTCCGAGAGGGGCAGAGGAATCGAACCCGAAACACAACCAAAAGAATATATTTTGTATTGTCTGTTGTGAAGAACTGCTGGACATGCTTACAAAAGAGCGTTCCTATAGGACCAGTGTGAAGATTGTTCTATTTTGGCTGGAGCCATTAAGACATTCTATAGGATATCACTAATATGTTGTTAAAGTTTGGATGATGTGAGCTTTAGTATAATCTATATGAAAATATGTAGCACTGTCCTCCCGTAGTTCATCGATTTGCTCGAGCAGGCACCAGTAACATCTCCATCGTGAGACTTGTTACTGTTTTTGGCATATCGAATACATCACGGGTAGCTTGCCAGGCTTTGCCGGGGGGTGAGATACTCTTGGTAGCTTGCCGGGCTCTCTGAGAGGGGTGGAGGAATCGAACCCCGGTCGGTAGCATGCAAAGCAAATGCCCTACCCATTGTACTATCGCTCTAGCCCATGAAAATATGTATGTATGCATATATATATATATTTATATATTTCCCTCTATGATTTGTTGCCTACTGTCTGAACCCCATCAATATGGTGTGGTAATTATGAAGGGGCTGGAGCGATAGCACAGTGGGTAGGGCATTTGCCTTGCACGAGGCCAACTGGGCGACCCGAGTTCGACTCCTCCGCCCCTCTCGGAGAGCCCCACAAGCTACCGAGAGTATCTCGCCCTCATGGCAGAGCCTGGCAAGCTCCCCGTGACATATTCGATATGCCAAACACAGTAACAATTGTCACAATGGAGACGTTACTGGGCCCGCTCGAGCAAATCGATGAACAACAGGACAGGCACAGGGAATTATGGAGACTGGGTAGGGAGTGTCTTATGATGTGTCCAGGAATATGTTCACTCGTGTGTGAGGCTCGGCCCGAGCATGTGTGGGGAGCGGCCTTGATCATGGGTGGTGGTTGAGTTTTGGAGGTTGGTTGCCCGGGCTGGGTCCCTTGGGGCAGGAAGGGCTCCTGGCTCTGCACTCAGGAATCACTCCTGGTGGTGCTCAGGAGTCCCTACGGGATGCCAAGGATGGAACCTGGGTCGGCCGCATGCAAGGCCAAAGCCCTCCCCGCGGTGCTAACACTCCAGCCCCCACGGCTCTGCACACTTTTAAGAGTTCTTTCTGGGGAAGACTTGCCCAGTACTGGCCGAGCGCGTGACCACCCGCGGTTGGTGCATTCAGCGACGCTTGGCAGGTACACAGTGTGGTTGACGCGCTCGGCGCTCGGCGCAGTGCGTGGCTGGAATGCGCACGGCCTAGCTGGAACCGCACGGCTGGCGGGCGGAGCGCCGCGAGGTTAGCGCGCGTAGGGTGGCGGGAGGCGAGGCTGGGGAGCCAAGTGATTAGCCCGCAGGGTGGCGGGAGGCGAGGAGTGGTTACCGCGCCGCCGTGTGGCCCAATGGTTAGCGCGCCGAGTGGTCAGCGCGCCTCGGAGGGTCAGGCTGGCGCACCGAGTGGTTAGCGCGCACGGTGAGGCCGGAGCGCGCGCAGCGTGGTGACCGCGCTCTCCCGCAGGTCTGCTCGCACGTGGGCCAGCTGGACCTGGCCAAGAAGATGCTTCGCAAGGCACTGCAGCTGCTCAACCGCACCTTCCCCTCCAACCTGATCTCGCTGTTCCTGCAACTGCACGTGGAGGAGAATCGGCACTTCCGCTACATGTCGCAGGCGCAGGAGAGCTCGCCCCCCAAGTAAGGGCGGGGTCTCAGTCCCCTCCACCCAGCTGCAAGGCCCCGAGCCAGACAGCAGGCCGGCTGCCCCAGGGCCTTGGGGGAAGCCGCTGGCAGGACCACGCAGGCTTCCACGACTCGGGGCTTGGGGTTTGCACAGCTGTGCTCAGCAAGGGCTGTGTGAGTCCAGTCCCAGCACTCCCGGGCTTCAGGACCCAGGTGACCCCCACATCCAGAGCATCACTTGGACCTAACACCAGCTAAGCATCGCCAGGAGTAGCCCCTGCGTGTGTGAGAGGGAGAGGGAGAGAGAGAGGGAGGGGGGGGGAGGGAGAGAGAGAACTGGTTAAGGCACAGATCTTGCGCGTGGGCAATGCAGATTGGATCCCGGGCACCCCACAAGGTCCCCCGAACCCCCCTGGGAGCCATCCCTGACAACAGAGCCAGCAGTCAGCCCGGGGGACACAGAACCACGCTAATATACAGTCCTGCTGGGAGCTGACCCCACCCTGACGGCAGTGTGCAAATACACGCCAGGCTGGAGATGCAGAGTCCCGTGTGAGCGCCCCCTGCTGTGGCCACGAGGGCGTAGCATGCCCCAGATTTCCGAGGATGCACTGTTAACACTGTAGCACTGTCCTCCCGTTGTTCATGGGAGCAGGCACCATTAACGTCTCCATTGTGAGACTTGTTACTGTTTTTTGGCATATCAGATAAACTATGGGGAGCTTGCCAGGCTCTGCCGTGCTCTGCCAGGCTCTGCCATGCAGGCGGGATACTCTCGGTAGCTTGCCAGGCTCTCTGAGAGGGGCGGAGGAATCGAACCTGGGTCGACCGCGTGCAAGGCCAACGCCCTCCCCACTGTGCTATTGCTCCAGCCCATTACAAGGAGGAGAGAGAGGAAATCCCGTGTATCCGCAAGATCTGGCTTGAGGAGCGATAGCACAGCGGGGAGGGCGTTTTGCCTTGCACGCGGCCGACCTGGGTTTGATCCCCGGCATCCCATCGGGTTCCCCGAGCACCGCCAGGAGTGATTCCTGAGTGCAGAGCCAGGACTCAGTCCTGAGCATCGCCGGTAGGACCCAAAAAGAAAAAAAAATGGGGCTGGAACTACAGCACAGTGGGGAGGGCGTTGGCCTGGCACGCGGCCGACCCGGGTTCGATCCCCGGCCTCCCATTGGGTCCCCCGAGCACCGCCAGGAGTGATTCCTGAGTGCAGAGCCAGGAGTCAGCCCTGAGCATCGCCGGGTGGGACCCAAAAAAGAAAAAAAAATAAACAAAGACCTAGCCTTCCTCAGGTCCCTTCCACGAAGCCTCAGAGGGGACACTTCCAGGGGCGGGGGGTGGGGGCTGTTTCCATTGGGTGGTGGTGACACACCCCAGGTTCTATCCCCCGCACCACGTGAACAGCCACCAGTTCACCTGGTCCCGAGCCCCTGGGTGATGGGGATCTCTCTGGCGCCCCCTGCAGGAAGAAGAGGCTGGCGCAGCTCTACCAACAGGCCAACTGCCTCTCCCTCCTCTGGAGGATTTACAGCCTCAACTACTTCTTCCACTGCAAGTACTACTGTTCCCTGGCTGCCCTCATGCAGCTGAACACGGCACTGGAGACGCAGAACGACTTCCAGGTAGGGGCCTTCGTGTCCCCCCCCTCCAGTTCCCCCGCAGGGCGAGGCCAGGGGCTGCCCCCCCAACCCACGGGCTCCTCTCCAACATTTTTGTCTTTTTTTTTTCTGTCTTTTTTGGTTGGGCTTGGTTTGTTTTGGAGGGGGCCACACCCGGTGATGCTCTGAGCTGACTCCTGGCTCTGCACTCAGGAATCATCATTCCTGGTGGGGTTTGGGGGACCCTAGGGGGTGTCGGGAAATGGAACTCGGGTCAAGCACTTGAACCCCTGCACTTTTTTTTTTTTTGCTTTTTTGGGTCACACCCAGCGATGCACAGGGGTTACTCCTGGCTCTGCACTCAGGAATCACTCCTGGCGGTGCTCGGGGGATCATATGAGATGCTGGGAATCGAACCCGGGTCAGTCGCATGCAAGGCAAATGCCCTACCCATTGTGCTATCTCTCCAGCCCTCTTTTATTTAATATATATATATTTGTTTGTTCGCTTTTTGGGCCACACCTGGCAATTCTCAGGGCTTGTTCCTGGCTCTGTACTCAGGGATCACTCCTGGTGGTGCTCAGGGGACCCTGTGGGATTCTGGATCAGCCACATGCAAGGCAAATGCCCTCCCCACCAGACTATCTTTCCAGCTTCTGATGCATATCTCCCTCCCCGCCCCCATGCATATTTTAAGGCTGGAGCGATAGCACAGCGGTAGGGCGTTTGCCTTACAAGCAGCCAACATGGCCGACCCGAGTTCGGTTCCTCCGCCCCTCTCGGAGAGCCCGGCAAGCTACCGAGAGTATCTCGCCTGCACGGCAGAGCCTGGCAAGCCCCCCGTGATGTATTCGATATGCCAAACACAGTAACAACAAAATCTCCAATGGAGACGTTACTGGGCCCACTCGAGCAAATCGATGAACAACGGGAGGGCCTTTACCTTTACTTTACCTTCATTGGGAAGGAGGAAAAATGAATTTGCCCTATTATTTTAGTGAGAAGGGCAGCCATTGTTAAAATTTCATTGTTTTGTTTTGGTTTAGCTTTTTGGGTCACATCTGGCAATGCTCAGGGGTTCCTCCTGGCTCTGCACTCAGGAATTACACCTGGTGGTGCTCTAGGGGCCCTGTGGGATGCTGGGGATCGAACCCAGGACGGCCACGTGCAAGGCAAATGCCCCACCCACTGTACTGCCACTCCAGCCCCAAATCTTCTATTTTTAATCAATGTCTGACGCATAGAAGATAGGGTGAATATCAATCTCTAACCTTCTCGCCATGCTAATACATCACAAAGCATGCTTCTGGAAAGTTCCACCATGGACGCATGAGAAAAAGAAGCTGAAAAGAAAAATGTTAAAGAATTTCCCCACACACATTGGGGCTGGAGCGATAGCACAGCGGGGAGGGCGTTTGCCTTGCACGCGGCCGACTCAGGTTCAATTCCCAGCATCCCATATGGTCCCCTGAGCACTGCCAGGAGTAGTTCTCGAGTGCAGAGCCAGAGAGCCAGGAGTAACCCCTGTGCGTTGCCAGGTGTGACCTAAAAAGGAAAAAAAAAAAGAATTTAGGGGACAGAGCAATAGTCCGGCAGATGGGACTCTGGCCTTACATGTGGCTGACCCAGGTTTGATCCCCGACACCCCCTAGGGACCCTGAATCCACCAGAAGTAAGCTTTTTGGCTCACATCCGGCGATGCACAGGGGTTACTCCTGGCTCTGCACTCAGGAATTACCCCTGGCGGTGCTCAGGGGACCATATGGGATGCTGGGAATCAAACCCAGGTCAGCTGGGTGTGACCCCCAAACAAGCAAGCAAGCAAAAGTAGATCAACCAGAGTAACTTCCTTGAGGCTGGAGTGATAGCATAGCGGAGGAGTGCGTTTGCCTTGCATGCAGCTGACCTGGGTTCGATCCCCAGTATCAGATAGAGTCCCCCAAGCACTGCCAGGAGTGATTCCGGAGTGCATGAGCCAGGAGTAAAAGGGAAAGAAAAAAAAACCTAAAAATAACCTTCCTTGGTTGTTAAATAAGGAAACAAACATACACCTATGACAGCAAATTGGATGTTGCAGTAAGGGCTGGAGCAATAGCACAGCGGGTAGGGCGTTCGCCTTACAAGCGGCCAACATGGCCGACCCGAGTTCGATTCCTCCGCCCCTCTCGGAGAGCCCGGCAAGCTACCGAGAGTATTCGATATGCCAGACACAGTAACAACAAAGTCTCCAATGGAGACGTTACTGGGCCCGCTCGAGCAAATCGACGATCAACGGGAGGGCCTTTACCTTTAGTAAGGCAGACAGTAAAACATGAAGCCACGCCTCTCCCCCAGCGAGCAGGTGCTCTCTGCTCCTCCTGGGGCTGACGCCCAGCCAGCGGGCTTCTCTCTGCACTGCGACCCTAGACTGGGCCAGGAGCAGAGGAGCAGGGTCCGGGTTGACCTCCAGCACACGTGGTGTCCTGGAGCACATGGGGAAACAACCCCTCGCCACCCCCCCCAAGCACAGAGCCGGGAGCATGGCTGGGTGAGGTCCCACGGCAGAACAAGGACAGAGAGGCACAAGGCCAGTCCTGGTTTGGCCACGGCACCCCAGAGGGTCCCCCAAGCACGTCCAGGAGTAAACCCTGAGCACAGAGTCAGGTGTCAGCCTTGAGCACAGAATCAGGAGTGATCCCTGAGCACAGTCAGGAGTGATCCCTGAGCACAGAATCAGAAGTAAACCTTGAGCACAGAGTCAGGAATGAGCTCCAAGCTAAGTCAGGAGTGACCCCTGAGCACAGAGTCAGGAGTGAGCCCCGAGCTCAGAGTTAAGAAAACCCTGAACTCTGGTAAGTTTTTCTCCAAAACCTGAATTAAAATATTTTGGCCGGGACTGGGGCGATAGCACCATGGGGAGGGCATTTGCCTTGCACCCTGCGGACCCGGGTTCGATTCCCAGCATCCCATAGGGTCCCCCGAGCACTGCCAGTAGTAATTCCTGAGTGCATGAGGAACCCCTGTGCATCATCGGGTGTGGCACAAAAAGTAAAATTAAAAAAAAAAAGTTTTAATCATTGTACAGTTGAAACCCAGGCACAAAAATTTGTCAATCTACAACTGTACCTCATGGTGTTTCACTAACAAAAATTAAAAAAAAAAAAAAAAGTAAGTGATGGAGAATGGGCACTGGTGGAGGGATGGGTACTCGATCATTGTATAACTGAAACCCAAGCCCAAAAATTTGTAAGTCCAAGGGCTGGAGCAATAGCACAGCGGGTAGGGTGTTTGCCTTGCACGCAGCCGACCCGGGTTCGATTCCCAGCATCCCATATGGTCCCTCAAGCACCGCCAGGAGTAATTCCTGAGTGCATGAACCAAGAGAAACCCCTGTGCATTGCTGGGTGTGACACAAAAAGCAAAAAAAAAAAAAAAATTGTAAGTCCACAACTGTACCTCACTAATAAAAATTAAAAAAGAAAAAAAGAATTAAAAAAAAAGTTTTGGCGCTTCAGACCATCAGGAGTGTGGGAACCTCGCAGGCCCACGGAGCTTTTCCTGGGAGCCGCGGCCCAGAGGGGCCAAGTCCCGCGGGGGCGTCTGCGTCCCCGGGTGCTTGCGGACACGCTCTGTGTCCCTGCCTCAGATCATCAAGGCCTACCTGGACTACTCACTGCACCGCCAGCTGTCCGGCCACCAGGAAGGCTGGAACAAGTACGAGATCCTGGCCATGAAGTCCATCTCGGCCCTCCCGCTGAAGGGCGAGAACATGGAGGCCGTGGCCCACGTGGCCGACACGCTGAGCTACACCAAGTTCATGATGGGCTACCTGGACCTGGCCATCGACCTGGGTAGGAGCGGGGGGCGGGGGGGGCAGCCGGGCGGGCAGGTCTGATCGCCCCCCACACACACCCCCATCACACCGGGACCGTGGCTCTTGCAGGCTCCAGAGCTCACGAGATGTGGTCGCTCATCCGGAACCCTGACCGGCACTGCCACGTCCTCTGCTGGCTGAGCCAGAGTCTCTGCCTGAGTAACAGGTACTTGGAGGGGCTGGAGCCGTAGCACAGCGGGGAGGGCGTTGGCCTGGCACGCGGCCGACCCGGGTTCGATCCCCGGCATCCCATCGGGTCCCCCGAGCACCGCCAGGAGTGATGGTTCCTGAGGGCAGAGCGAGGAAGTCAGCCCTGAGCACCACCGGGTGGGATCCAAAGAGCCCAAAACAACCACCCAGGTCGGAGCCATAGCACAGCAGGGAGGGCGTTGGCCTGGCACGCGGCCGACCCGGGTTCGATCCCCGGCATCCCATCGGGTCCCTCGAACACCGTCAGGAGTGATTCCTGAGTGCAGAGCCAGGAAGGACCCCTGAGCATCGCTGGGTGTGAGCCCAAATAACGACCACGGCAGTCAGGGTGTGAGGGAGAACAGAACGGAACCTGGCCAGCCCCGCCCCCGACTTCATCATCCCCCCATCTCCATCTCCCCCCAACCCCCCCGCCCCATCTGCATCTCCCCCCAACCCCCCCGCCCCATCTCCATCTCCCCCCAACCCCCCCGCCCCATCTCCATCTCCCCCCAACCCCCCGCCCCATCTGCATCTCCCCCCAACCCCCCCGCCCCATCTCCATCTCCCCCCAAACCCCCCGCCCCATCTGCATCTCCCCCCAACCCCCCCGCCCCATCTCCATCTCCCCCAACCCCCCCGTCCCATCTCCATCTCCCCCCAACCCCCCCGCCCCATCTCCATCTCCCCCCAACCCCCCCGCCCCATCTGCATCTCCCCCGCCCTATCTTCATCCCCCTTCTCCATGCACCCTGCCCACCTCTATCCGCCCCATGCAGATCCATACAGCTGGTGCAGGTGCTGGGCTGGCTGTGGGACCTCTCCGTGGCCGAGGAGCACATCTACGGCAAGGCCTTCTTCTACTTCATCTGCATGGACGTCATGCTTTACTCGGGTGCGACATGGGGGCACCCCCCAGGCCCTCCCCCACACCCCTGCTGTCCAGAAGGCTCTGAGATGGGCGCGGGAGGAGTGTGATTGGGGGCTGCTAGGGGTGGGAAGGAGGGAGAGCAGAGGGCCGGCTGCATGTGCAAAGGGCCTGTGGTCACCGATAACAATTTGGTTTTTTGAGTTTTTGTTTTGTTTTGTTTTGTTTTGTTTGCTTTTTTGGTCCCACCTGGCGATGCTCAGGGCTGACTCCCGGCTCATGCACTCAGGAATCACTCCTGGTGGAGCTCGGGGGACCCTCTGGGATGCTGGGAATCGAACCCGGGTTGGCCGCGTGCAAGGCAAATGCCCTCCCTGCTGTGCTATAGCTCCAGCCCCAACGATGACAATTTGGGAACCTCATTCTGTCAGGGGACAGATGGACCCCAAGGGACCAGCGGGCTCCCTCTTGCCTGAACAGGAGTGCAAAAGGGTACCCAGAGACACGGCCTTGGGCCTGAGCGCCAACAAGTTTATATGTTTTAGATATATATTTGTCTTTTTGGGTCACACCCGGCGGTGCTCAGCGCTTCCTCCTAGCTCTACACACAGGAATCACTCCTAGCAGTGCTCGGAGGACCCTATGAGATGCTGGGAATCGAACCCGGGTCGGCCACGTGCCAGGCCAACGCCCTCCCCACCGTGCTATCGCTCTGGCCCCAATGTTATTTTGGGGGGTGTGGTGGGGGCATATTTTTTGGCTACACCTGGCAGTGCTCAGGACTGACTTTTGCCCCTGTGGTCAGGGATCACTCCTGGCGGGGTTTGGGGGCCCCTTTGTGGCACCGGGGATCGAATTGTGGTTATCCACATGGAAGGCACTCTCCCTGCACTCTCCCTCAGGCTAGGGGGTGAGTTTTATTTATTCAGGTTTTGGTTTGGGGGCCACACCCGGCGGTACTCAGGGCTTACTCCTGGCGGTGCTTGGGGGACCATATGGAATGCCGGACTTGAACCTGGATAGGCCGCATGCAAGGCCCCTACCCCCTCCTGCTGTGCTATCACTCGGCCTCTGCAAATGGGCTTTATTTTTTATTTATGTATTTATTTATTTATCTGCTTTTTGGGTCACACCTGGCGACACGCAGGGGTTCCTCCTGGCTCATGCACTCAGGAATCACTCCTGCCGGTGCTCGGGGGATCCTATGGGATGCTGGGGATCGAACCTGGGTCAGCCGCATGCAAGGCAAACGCCCTCCCCGCTGTACTATCGCTCCAGCCCCTGCAGATGGACTTTAAACTGAACTCCCAGGGACTGGAGTGATAGCACACGGGGAGGGCGTTCGTCTTGCATGCGGCTGACTCGGGTTCGATTCCCAGCATCCCATAGGGTCCCCTGAGCACCGCCAGGAGTAACTCCTGAGTGCAGAGCCAGGAGGAACCCCTGTGCATTGTCGGGTGTGACCCAAAAAAGAAAAGCTCCCATGTTGAAGACCTGGCACTCAGTGGACCCAGGTTCAATCCCCGGCATCCCATAGGGCCTCCTGAGCCCTGAGCACAGAGCCCGGAGTCAGCCCTGAGCTCTGAAAAAACAGGTGTGGCCCCAAACTCCAAAATAATAACAGTTATAATAAAGAGCGAAAGCCCCCTTTTCCAGGCCCGTGGGGAGAGATTTTTCTTTCTTGTATGCTTTTGTTTCCTTGGGCCGTACCCGGCAATGTTCTCCTGGCTGACACCACATCCACGCGGTGACTCAGGAAACTCAGTCCCCCTCTCCTCAGTGGAAGGGGGTGCCCCCCCGTGGGAGCTCCAGGCTCCACCTCTTGGGAAATGCACCTCTTTCTCTCCTTTTTTGGGGGGCAATGCACAGGGGTTCCTCCTGGCTCTGCACTCAGGAATCACTCCTGGCAGTGCTTGGGGGACTCTATGGGATGCCGGGGATCGAACCTGGGTCAGCCGCATGCAAGGCAAACGCCCTCCTCGCTATGCTATTGCTCCAGCCCTTTCTCTCCTTTTTTAGGCTTCATTTATAGGGGCTTTGAGGAGTGCTTGCAGTTCGTCACAGAGAACGAGAACAACAAAATCCTCAAGTACCAGAGCGGAATCCTGCTGGGCCTTTACTCTTGCATCGCGCTCTGGTAAAAACTCAACTTGGGGGACCAGAGTGATAGTACAGTGGGTAGAGCATTTGCCTTGCACGTAGTCGACCTGGGTTCGATCCCCGACATCCCATATGGTCCCCCAAGTAACTCCTGAGCATCGCTGAGTGTGACTCAAAAAAGAAAAAAAAAAACACCTCAACTTGGGGGCTGGAGCCATAGCACAATGGGGAGGGCGTTTGCCTGGCACACGGCCGACCCAGGTCCAATTCCCAGCATCCCATAGGGTCAACCAAGCACCTCCAGGAATGATTCCTGAGTGCAGAGCCAGGAGGAACCCCTGAGCATCGACGGGTGGGACCCAAAAAGCAAAAAAAAAAAAAAAAAAAAAAAAACCCCACAAACAGAAAAGCAACTTTACCAGGGCTGCGGGCTGGAGCGATAGCACAGTGGGTAGGGCGTTTGCCTTGCATGCCACAAACCCGGGTTCAATTCCTCCACCCCTCTCGAAGAGCCTGGCAAGCTACCGAGAGTATCTCGCCTGCACAGCAAAGCCTGGCAAGCTCCCCATGATGTATTCGATATGCCAAACACAGTAACAAGTCTAACAATGTTACTGGGCCTGCTCGAGCAAATTGAGGATAGTTACAGTGACAGTGACCAGGGCTAGAGCGATAGCATAGCGGTAGGGCGTTTGCCTTGCACACAGCCAGTCCGACCGAGCTGGGTTTGATTCCTCTGCCCCTCTCCGAGAGCCCGGCAAGACACCGAGAGTATCTCGCCCGCACGGCAAAGCCTGGCAAGCTACCCGTGACGTATTCAATACGCCAAACAGAGTCACAAGTCTCACAATGGAGACATTACTGGTGCCCACTCGAACAAATCGATGAACAACAGGACAGTGGACAGTGGACCAGAGCCCAGAGCCCCCGGTGCCCCCCATCCCCGCCCCGGCCACGGAATCCCCAAAGAACAGGCTAATGAGGGTGTTTGCTTTAAAAAAGGGAAGACAGGCCCGGAGCCCAGGGGCCAAGGTGCTCACCTTGCCTGCAGATGACCCAGGTTCCATCCCCGGCCCTGCGCATGGTCAGTGGGCAAAGAGCCAGGAGTGGCCCCTGAGGACCCCCCTCAAAAAAATTGCTCTTTGCTTGTTTTGTAATACTCCAGTGCTCCCGAGTCCACGGGACAGGCATAGGTGCCAAGAACATACCCCGGGGGTCCTCCCTGCCAGCCTGTCACGGGACAGGGGCCCTGAGGCCATCGGAATGCAGGTTTGGGGCTTCTGCCATGGTGTGGAGGGACCCATCGCCCAGGCCAGAGCCCAAAACTGTGACTCTGCGTTACAGATGACCCAGGGGCCCTGACAGCACAGGCCAGGGGCAGGAGCGACAGCACAGTGGGGAGGGTGTTGGCCTTGCACGTAGCCCACCCGGGTTCGAGTCCCGGCATCCCATAGGGTTCCCTGAGCACCAGCAGGAGTGATCCCTGAGTGCAGAGCCAGGAGTGACCCCTGAGCATCGCCGGGTATAGCCCAAAAAGAAAAAATCTAATAAAAAGAAACACCGACCAGGAGACAGTGTGAGACCGGTGTGGTCTTGTGCAAAAGCCTCGGCTGTGGGGCTGGAGCGATAGCACAGCGGGGAGGGCGTTTGCCTTGCACGTGGCCGACCCAGGTTCGATTCCCAGCATCCCATAGGGTCCCCCGAGCACGGCCAGGAGTAATTCCTAAGTGCAGAGCCAGGAGTCAGCCCTGAGCATCGCCGGGTGGGACCCAAAAGGCTGCTCGGAACCCCCCGAGGGGTGCACTCGGGGAGTTGGAAGGCGGGGGCGGGGGCGGGCGGCCAGGGGCGGAGGCTGACGTCGTCGGGTGTGTTTGCCGGGCAGGTACGGGCGACTTCGGGAGTGGAACCACTTTCACGTCTTCTCCACCCGCGCCAAGGGCCTGGTGCCCAGGAAGACGCCCGCGGCCATCTACTGCCAAGGGGTCAGCCGCTACCTGGAGGGTCGCGTGCTCTTCCTGCAGCAGCAGATCGAGTTGCAGGTGGAGACCGCGCAGGACAGCGGCTTGAAGCTCCTCAAGGTCAGGAGCGTCCCTCCTCTGACCCCCAAGCTCATTCCCACCCCAAATCCCTCGGGCTTGCTTTGGCCAAGGGCGGGGGCAGTGGGGTCCAGACAGGTGGCCAGGCCAGATAGGGCACACACCACAGCACACACACACACACACACACACACACACAGTCCACATACCCACAGGTCGTGCACAGCACAAACCACATGTGCAGGACACATGACGCCTCAGATGTGTGCAAACGTGTCATACGTCACATCAGTCCCATCTCTCACGCATGCACACCCATGTGCACACCCATGCACACACATGCATACATGTGCACACATGCACACGTGCGCACACATGTGCACGCACACACATGCACACACACATATGCGTGCACATGCACACACGCACACACATGCACACACGTGCAGACAAACGTGCACACACATGCCCACACGTGTGCACACACACACGCACACACACATACACACAGATGCACATACACGCACACACGCACACACATGCGCACACACACATGCATATTGCACACACACGCACATACACGCACACATGCACACGCACACACATGCATATTGCACACACACGCACATACACGCACACATGCACACGCACACACGCACACACACACACACACGCACATACGCGCACACATGCACACATGCACACACATACACATATGCGTACACACACGCACACACGCGCACACACACACACACGCATGCATGCCCGATGCTGAGCTGACAACTGGGCTGTGTCCCCGCAGCGCCTGGAGGTGCTGGTGACGCAACACTGCACGGCGCCCGTCTTCTACCCGCGCCTGTACCACCTCATGTCCTACGTGTGCATCCTCATAGGCGACGGCGAGCGCTGGCAGCTCTTCCTGCGCATGGCGATGTCCTTCAGCGAGCGCCAGGGCAACGTGCTGGAGAAGGACTGGCTCGCCATGAACAAGGCAGGCGCCGGCGCGGGCAGCGGGGAGGGGCTGGGGGACCCTGAGGTGGTGGTGGTGGGGGCACCCCCAAAGGAGGGTTTTCTTTCTGAGCCACACCCGGGGATGCTCAGGGCTGACTCCTGGCTCTGCACTCAGGGTTCACTCCTGGCGGGGCTCAGGGGACCCTGTGGGATGCCAGGGATCGAACCCGGGTCAGCCATGTGCAAGCCAAACGCCCTCCGCGCTGTGCTATTGCTCCAGACCTTTACTAATATTTCTTTGCTTTTTGGGTTGGGTCACACCCAGCGATGCTCAGGGCTGACTCCCAGTTCTGCACTCAGGAATCACTCCTGGCAGTGCTCGGGGGACCCTATGGGATGCCGGGGATCGAACCCAGGTCGGCCGCGGACAAGGTAAGCGCCTTACCTACTGGGCTATCTTTCAGGCCTGGAAGAAGCTTTTAAATTTATTTTTTATTTTATTTTTGTCTTTATTAAGTTGTTTTTTTTTTAATCGAATCATAGTGAGATAGACCCCTACAAAGTTGTTCACGGTTGGGTTTCAGTCATATGGTGTCCAACACCCGTCCCTCCACCAGGACACATTTCCCAGCACCAGGGTCCCCAGGTTCCCTCCCATCACCCCCACCCCCTGCCTGCCTCTATGGCAGGCGTTTCTATTCTCTGTCTCTCTCTCTGTCTGTGTCTCTCTGTCTCTGTCTCTCTCCTGTCTTTGTCTCTCTCCGTGTATCTCTCTGTCTCTCTCTCTCCTCCCTCTCTCCTCTCTCTCTCTATCTCTGTCTCTCTCTCCCTCTGTCTCTGTCTCTGTCTGTCTGTCTGTCTCTCCCCCCCCCCCCTTTTTAGCATTGTGGTTTGCAGTACAGATACTGAAAGGTTATCAGGAATATCCCTTTACCTCCTTTGAACCCTCAGCTCTTGTCCAGCCTGACCCTTCCCAGCTATTTTTGTCACCCTGGTCCCTTCTCTATCTGACCCGCCCTCTGCCCCACACACACCTGTGGTTGATTCCAACCACTGATGAGTCCTCCTAGCCCTTGTTTGTCCTGGTCATGGATATTAGTCTCCTTCTATTCTTTTTTTTTTAATCCCGCAAATGAATGCGGTCCTTCTATGTCTGTCTTCTATGTCTTCTATGTCTTCTATGTCTTCTATGTCTGTCCCTCTCAGAAGGATCATTTTTCGTCTTGGTCTCAGCCGGTGATGCTCCGTGCTCCCTCCTGACTCTGCCCGCAGGAATCCCTCTTGACAGAGCTCAGAGGACCCTGTGGGGTGCCAGGCGGTGAACTTAGGTTGGTCATGTGCAAGGCCAGTGCCCTCCCCACTGTCCTATGGCTCCGATCCCCGACGGGAAGTTTCTTCCTTCCTTTGAGGCTTTTCCAGGCTCCTCAGCTGTCCCGGATTCCAGCCATGGGGAGCTTTGCTCCTTCTCCTGCCCCCTTCTCTGGGTGTCTCACCCTCTGAGGCCCTCCTCTAGAATGGGGACCCCAAGGGGAGCCCCCCCCCGCAGTGCCTGGTACGCAGATGGGCAGTTTGGGTGCAGCAGGGAGGAGCCAGTGCTGGCCTTCCATGTAGCTGACCGAAGTTGACCACCTCACGTGTGGTCCCCGAGCACTGCCAAGTGGGGACCTCCCTCCTCTCCACTTAAAAAAAAAATTCTTGGGGCTGGAGAGATAGCACAGCGGTTAGGGCGTTTGCCTTGCACAGTGACTGACCCGGGTTCAGTTCCCAGCATCCCATAGGGTCCCCTGAGCACCGCCAGGAGTGATTTCTGAGTGCAGAGCCAGGAGTAACCCCTGCGCACCGCTGGGTGTGACCCAAAAAGAAAAAAAAAATTCTTTGTCTCTGGGCCCCGCGGTCTTGGTGCCCCCACGAGCACCCCTGTGCCTGTCCCAGCAGGACTGGTGGTGCTCCAGCCCCGAGAAGGCCCTGGACCAGTGGCAGAACATAATCATGAGGCTACCGTCCTGGGAAACCGTCATATCCGGGAAAGTGAATCTCGAGGACTTGCAGAAGAACAAGTTTCTACTGGGAGGCAGCATACTGGATGATCTTCGCTGAACCGCGGCCTGGACGGCCTCAGCCCAGTCAGCAGACTGGACAATCTTTTCTAAGTTATTATCCTGGACGAGCTTTTCTAAGTCACTAGACTGGACGGCCCTTCTTTTTTCTTTTTTTTTCCCCCCCCCGCGTCACAACCCAGCGATGCTCAGGGCTGACTCCTGGCTCTGCACCCAGGAATTACTCCTGGCAGTGCTCAGGGGACTCTATGGGATGCTGGGAATCGAACCCGGGTTAACCGCAAGCAAGGCAAACGCCCTTCCCTCTGTGCTATCTATCACTCCAGCCCCTGGATGGCCCTTCCATTTTTTTGTTGTTGTTGTTTGTTTTTGTTGTTGTTGTTTGCTTTTTGGGTCACACCCAGCGATGTACAGGGGTTCTCCTGGCTCTGCACTCAGGAATCACTCCTGGCGGTGCTCAGGGGACCCTATGGGATGCTGGGAATCGAACCCGGGTCGGCCGCATGCAAGGCAAACGCCCTCTCCGCTGTGCTATCGCTCCAGCCCCTGGCCAGCCCTTCTTAACCGGGCACGTGTGCACGAACAAAGCTTCCCCCCGCCCACCCCCACCCCCAGGCCCGTCCACGCCCCACCCCCACCCCTGCCCCCATCCCAGCCCCCGAGGGTGTGACTCCTGCAGCATGGAGCGTTGGGGTCTGTGCGTTCTGCCCCGGTATCTGAGCCGGTCTCAGCCCACAGAGAACCCGCCTCCCCTGGGTGGGGATGGGGAGCAGGAAGAGGACCCCGCGGGGGCCCCACCTAGCGCCTTCTTGGCTAGCCCGAGCGGGTGACAGTTTAACCCAGACCTAGCGTGGGTTGCAAGCGAGCGTGTCTCCAGCGCTGGGCACGGCTGTCCTGCCAAGGCCCAAACGGCAAGATGTGGCAAGAGGCACGTTTGTAGGGACAAGTTCATGTGTGACGAGGGCACCATCTGGGTGCCGCCTGCCCCGGGCACCAAGCCTCAGAGCCTCAGCCGGGGGTTGGGGTCCCATATGTTCTGGTGGAGGGCACAGCCCGCGGGGCTCAGGGACCACTCCTGGCCGTGCTTGGGATCCAACCCGGGTCTGCCGTGCTGACCCCCACATCCGGGTGGTCGTGGAAATAGGAGGGGACAGCAGGTTAAATCGAGCCAGGGTTGGCTGTCAGCCTCACTTCCCAGAAGCCACGGAGGGGCAGAGAGGCGGCCACGGGGTCTAACAGAGCCCTCGCCCGCGAGGTCCCTGAGTTCGAGCCCCATGCTTTCCCTAGTCCCACCAGGTATGGCCCAAACAAGACAGAGCAGGGCTGGAGCGATAGCACAGTGGGGAGGGCACACGGCCGAACCGGGTTAGATCCCCAGCATCCCCTAGGGTCCCCCAAGCACCGCCAGGAGTGATTCCTGAGTGCAGAGCCAGGAGTCAGCCCTGAGCATCGCCGGGTGTGACCCAAAAAGCAAAAGCAAAAACAAACAAACAAAAACCCACAAAACAATACAGATAAACCAAAAAAGTAGTCACAAACAGCATTCTTACAAATACTAATAAACTCCCAGCACCTCGGGGTGAGGAGAGGGGTGAAACCAGGTAGGAGCTAGGGGCACCCCATATCTTTTTTTCTCCCTTTGTTTTTTTGGTCCCACCCAGTGATGCTCAGGGCTGACTCCTGGCTCGGTGCTCAGGAATCACTCCTGGCGGTGCTGGGGGGGGGGGGGAGGCTATGGGATGCCGGGATTGAACCCGGGTCTGTTGTATGCAAGGTGGGCACCCGCCCCACTGTGCTGTCCCAGGGAGGCAGCCCAAAGAAGGGAGTGGGGGAGCAGGCACCCGGGAGCGAAGCCCCCAGCAGATGAGAACATGATCCTTCCACCCATCCAAGGGTCTGAAGCCAGGTCAAGCCCAGGGTTTGCAGGAGCACTGGCCTCAAAAGCACCCAAGCCAGTGATGTCTCTGGCTTCTGCCCAGTGCATTGAGATTGGTGGCACCCGCAGCTGCCAAGCCCCTCTGGCCAGCAGGGGGCAGCATGGACCTTTGAAAGAAGCTTCTGAACCGCCAGACTTCAGGGTTCAAGCCCACAGCTTGGGGGGACCGGTGGTGGGGGTAACCCCACTGGTTCCCCTCATCTGCCAGGAAGCTGCGAGCCCGGGATCCAGGGGACAGAACTCGATACGTTGATGATGGCCAGAATTTGGACCCTGAACACCCACCTGGTGACGGGGGCACCCCCAGAGAAAACTCGTGTTCCATCCTCCTAACACTTTTGTCTGGGGCCCATATCTGGACTCCGGAGGAGCAGAAATGATCAGGGGCCCAGGGAAGGACACAGCCTCGCTGTCCAGGCCTGCCCAGGTCACAGACACGGCCAAGGAACGCACTTGTGGGGTGCTCATCACTGTCTCTTGTTCCCGAAGTGAGACTTCAGGGCAGGCGCTGAGAATCCGGGCAGCGGGGGGCCGCAGGCCACAGGACAGCGGGGAAGGCGCCGACCCTGGTTTGATCCCCTATAAAGGTCTCCATTGCATCGCCAGGAGTGATTCCTGATTCCCTAGCAGAGCCAGGAGAGAGTACTGTGCACCGCCAGGTAGGGCCAAAACAAAAGAAAGTTCTGGAAAGTTCTAGAAGGGGTGCTGGAAGTCCGCCAGATTTCCAGAGCGTGGGGTCCAGACTGGGCCCATGGAGCTGGAGGAGGTGTTTGAAGGGCACCTCTGAGTCCAGAGATGAGTAATTCTGGTATGGGGCGACTCAGGCACCTGGACACTGGGGGGCGGTTTCAGGGGCAAAGGGTCCTCTAGCCGGTGTCCTTGGCCAGCTGGACACTGGTTGGTGGGCCTGGTGCCTGGCTGGAGGCTCTCTGGAGAGCTTCCTCCACTGGGGCATGATTTGGGGTTTTGCATGACTAATGTCTGCCCACAGGTAGGGAACAGCTGGTCTGGACTACAGGGCCTGGCTTCAGCCGGAACTTGAAGTGGACAGAAAGAGTCGGAGAAACAGCCCCAGAAACCCATTTCCGGGGCTGGATCGATAGCACAGTGGGGAGGGCGTTCGCCTTGCACGTGGCCGATCAGGGTTCGATTCCCAGCATCCCATACGGTCCCCTGAGCTCTGCCAGGAGTAACTCCTGAGTGCAGAGCCAGGAGTCAGCCCTGAGCAACACTGGGTGGGACCCAAAAAGAAAAAAAAAATTTCCCCATTTCCCACTTTCTCCTGCGAGGATCTATTTCAGAGCCTCAGGGGGAGAGAGACCAGATTTCTCAGCCAAGAACTGGCCAGCGCTCACCCTCCTCCCTCCTCCCCCCCTCCAGCCTCAGTTAGTCAACATGAGGTCACTGGGGAGAGGGGGGGTTGCCCTGTTTCCGTGGGACGTGGCCCAGCTCTGACCAGCAGGGCTGAGCATGGGGTGCTATTTTACACACATACACACACACACACACACACACACACACACACACACACATACCCACCTCCCGATGAAAGGGAACAGGCAGACACCCAGCTGCAGCCAAGTCGGGGTTTGACAACCCTGCTCTTGGGGGCCTGACATGCTTGGGGTTCTTGAGTAATCGCCACCCTGGGTGAGTTTTCCAGAAACATCTCCGCGGGCAGAGCACCCTCCTCCGGGAAGGGATTCAGATGGCCTGTGGCCTGCGGCAAGGGCTTTGCGAGAATGTTCTACAACCTCCTCGGGCTTTCTGTTTGTCTTGGGCTTGTGGGCCGCACCCAGCTACATTCAGGGATGCCTCCCAGCTCTTGGGGACCCCATGGGGTGCTAGGGATGGAACCGGGTCTCCTGGCTCGCAAGGCAAGCACCCTCCCCAGGAGAGAGAACATCGCCTTTATCGAGTTAAACATTTTGTTTTGTATTTATCTGGGGGCCACACCCAGCCATGCTCAGGGGTTCCTCCTGGCTCTGCACTCAGGAATCACTCCTGGCGGTGCTCTGGGGGCCCTATGGGATGCCGGGATCAGAGGCGGCCAGCCTCGGGCCAGGCAAATGCCCTCCCTGCTGTCCTATTGCTCTGGCCCTAAAAGAATCACTTTTTAAACAGGACCCGGGAGGTGTTTACACATTTTTTTAAAAGAGAGAGTACTGCGGGAAAGGCTTTAGCTTTGATCCCAGGAACCACATAGGGTCCCCCAAGCAACGCCTGGAGCAAATCCTGAGTACAGAGCCAGGAGTAAGCCCTGAGCATCGCTGGGTGTGGTCCCAAAACAAAATAAAAAAGGAGGGCGGTGAGAGAGAGCACAGGGGGTAAGGCACGTGCCTAGCATGGGGTTGGGCTGGGCTTGATTCCTGCGCCCCACCCAAAACAACAGAAAGCAGGGAAGTGACTCAATGGACTGCATGCAGAGTGTAGGAACTGCATGGGTGGGGGATGGGGGAACTGATTCTCAGCAATGATGGTCTCCGGAGCTCTGCCAAGCAGGACCCAACATAACAAAAAGATTCCAAACCCAGAGACGTCCCGTGTCCACCGGGCCCCTCCCCAGGGCCTGGACACCCTCAGGAATTTCAGAGTGTCCCTGCCTTCTGCCGGGAGTGAATCACACGTGGTGCCCCAGTGACCCAGTGCCCCGCCGGCCAGGGCCCTCAGAGCCCACGTGCAGACATCCACTTGGCCAGATTTCCTCTCCCAGAAATAGGGAAAATTTAAAAAAATCTACATCCCAGCTCTCCCTTCCACTCGGAACCGCCAGCCCCAGGCACAATGAGGGGACATCCTGTTTGCAGTAGGAAACGCACTGGGAAGTGGGAGGCCCGAGGGACTGAGGCCTGAAAGGCTGGAGCTTCCTTTCTGGCCAAGCTTGGGATTGTTTTTGCAAGCCCAGCACTCAGCACGGGGCCCCGGGGGCTTCCTGAGGACACACAGGCCAGGCCAGGCCGGGCTGGACCAGGGCAGGGAGGCTCCGGGCTGGGCTGAGGGGGTTCCCCTGAGCACCCCGAGACCTGTAGTTCCTGCCCAGGGGGCCGGGCTTAGCTGCAGTTCCTGTCTGGGGTACCGGGCTTAGCTGCCGCCGCCAAGGAACGCTTTGATTTGCCCAGTGAGAAGCCACAGGACCCCCATCCTGGGTTTGGGGCTAGAGAAACCGTTCAGCAGGGAGTGGGGGGGTGCCCCGGGGAGATGGGAACTGAGCCCAAGACCTCTCTGCAGGCCGAGCCTGAGTTCAAGCTCTCTCTGTGATTGCCACCGGGTGTGGCCCAGAAACCAAACCCTCCCCCACAAAACAACAATCATCCACAACACCTGGGTTGCTGCCACTGTCCTCCCGTTGTTCATCAAGTTGCTCGAGCAGACCCAGTAATGTCTTCTGTGAGCCGTTGTTACTGTGTTTGGCATATTGAATACATCACGGGGAGCGAGATACTCTCACTGCTGGGCAGAGGAATCAACCCGGCTCAGCCGGCCGGCAGTGCGCAAGGCAAATGCCTTACTGCTGTACTATCACTCTAGCCCAACACCTGGGCTTGATTTGATGAAATCAAGGATTCGTTTCTGGAAAAAAAGTTTTTTGTTTTACATTTCCTACTCAATGTGATGTGACGTTACAGAAGAAATCGCCTTTGTGCTTGCAGGATACACGGGGGTTGGGGTACACCGACACAGTTTGGGGGATCCGTTTTTCTCTTGGGGGGCCACACCCAGGGGTGCTGGGGACGGGCACTTCTCCCCTGGCAGGGAAGTTCGGGGGGACGGCCTTGGGTTCCCAACCGCTGCTGGTGGGGCAGTCAGCCTTCTGGGGTCAACACCCCGGGGGCCCTCAGAAGCGCCTGGTCACTTCCGGCGGGGAGGGACATGCCCCCCCACATTCTCTGCCACCCCAGACCCCCAGAGCCTGTCCTTCCAATACGGGGGGCGGAGGGGCAAACCCTCTTCAAACAGAATCACCCGGGGCTGGAGCGATAGCACAGTGGGGAGGGCATTTCTCTTGCACGCTGCCGACTCAGGTTCGATTCCCAACATCCCACTGGGTCCCCCGAGCACCGCCAGGAATAATTCCTGAGTGCAGAGCCAGGAGGAACCCCTGAGCATCGCTGGGTGTGACCCCCCCCCCAAAAAACATAGAAACAAACAGAATCACCCAGAAATCAGGGAGGCGCTGCGTACGACAGATTTAATAATTAGCACCAAGTTTGCCATTTGCAATAAAAACCCCCAATTCCTGGGCTTTGAGAGGAGGGGTTGGGGTGGGAACCCCCCATCTACCCCTTAGCCACTCCAGGGAGTTGGGGGGAGGGGGTGGTGAGAGGGGGCATTTTTAAAACCACGATAATAAAAAAAAAATGATTTCCCAGCAGGGGGGCTCCCACGCGGTGCAGGGGCTTCCTGGGACAGAACCCCCAGCCCAGGAGGGGGTTTCCGGGGCCATGGGGCCGGGTGGGTGGAGGGGACCCCCGACACTTTGCAAGGGGCCCCAGGCTGGGGCACATGGTGCTGTTCCTAGAGGGTGCGATCAGGGCCTGCTCAGGGCACCCCACCGGGCCCCGGGCCCCCGTGCCAGCCCGGTCAGGATCTGCGTCTTGGGGTGTCGGGGTCCAGGGCACCCCCTCAGTTTTTCCGGATATCTGCGTACACCACCGACTCGGACTTGTTGATCTTGTCGCTGCAGTGACCACCCGAGTGTTCTAGCTGCGCGTAAATGACTGGGCCCTGGGGGAGAAGGAGAGAGTCAGAGGGCGGAGGCCAGGCTCAGGGGGGCCCCTCTCGGCCACGTGCTCCAGAAGCCTTTCACAGGCGCGGGGCACGCCCGGTTTGTGACCTTCTGCCCAGAGTCTGGAAGTTTCCATCCCTTCCGGGGCCCTGCCCGCAACTTCCTCTGGGTCACAGGCTTCCTGGGGCTTTGCCTTGCCGGCGATGGGGGGACGCTGCCTCCCCGGGACCTGCAGGAACACTCGGGCCTGACACAGTGTCTGGGATGCGCTTCCACGCATGGCCCCGAGCACAATTCTCCGGGTCCCGTCTGGTCGCAACAGACTGAGACGCTGCTTCCCAGAAGGTGCAAATCAGAGAATTTTCTTCCCCCCCCCCCCCCAATGTCAAGACCGAAAGAAAAGCCAGGGTTGGAGCAATAGTTGGGTACAGCAGGAAGATGTGTGCCTGGCTTGTGGCCGACCTGGGTTCCAGCCCGAGCACAGGGCCAGGAGTAGACCCTGGGCACTGCCGGGTGTGGCCCTCCCAAACCCAAAACCAAAGAGTTAAAAAATAGTAGCAGAGGGGGTCTGGATAGCACAGCAGGGAGGGCATTTTCCTTGCACGCGGCCGACCCGGGTTCGATTCCCAGCATCCCATAGGGTCCCCGGAGCACCGCCAGGAGTGATTCCTGAGTGCAGAGCCAGGAGGAACCCCTGAGCATCGCCGGGTGTGACCCAAAAAGCAAAAAAAAAAAAAAAAAAAAAGTAACAGAAACCCCCCCAAGAGGCACATCTGTAGGGTGGCAACCAAAAGTCCTGTGGCAGTGACCTCCGGCCCCAGCAGGAAGAGAGACGGGGTCCAAGACGCAGGACAGCAGGGAGGGTGTTTGTCTTGCCCAGGGCCCACCTAGTTCCATCCCTGGCGCCCCCCCCCCCGTATGGTCCCTAGCGCTTGCCAGAAATGATCCCCAAGCTCAGAGCCAGGAGTAACCCCTGAGCACTGCTGGGTGTAACCCCCAACGAACAAAACATACAAATGAATTTGAGGGGCCGACAGTACACCAGAGAAGGCAGACCCGGGGTCGATTCCCAACAGGCACCCCGTATTAAGGGTAATAAAAGCATTTCTCTAGAAATAATAATAGAGGGAAGGCGAGAGATCTTGGGGGCCCCCAGCATGAGAGCAAGGCAAGGGCGGGCTCCCTAGCATAGGGGTCAGAGCATGAGGGGAGAACGCTAGGACAGAGCCAGCGCCCCAAATGACAAACGTGCCCTTCCCAGAATCGCCCCACTCAGAAGCTCAAGCCACAGCCGAAGAGGCCCGGCTCCGAAGCAGAAGTCTCGCAAGAACCTAGACAGAACACAGGGAAATAGAAATCTAATATCCACTGGCATTTTCAGCACAGAGATGGCACGGGCCAACCCTTCCAAAACTCGGAAAGGCGTTTGCCTGGCACGCGGCCGACCCGGGTTCGATCCCCGGCATCCCCTAGGGTCCCCCGAGCACCTCCAGGAGTGATCCCTGAGTGCAGAGCCGGGAGTCAGCTCTGAGTAGCGCCGGGTGGGACCCAAAAACCAAAAAATCCAAACAAAACGCCTGATTGGCCCTCCCCACGTGAACGTGGACCTGGAGTCAGACCCCGATGGGGCTGGAGCCATAGCACAGCAGGGAGGGCGTTTGCCTTGTAAGCGGCCGACCCGGGTTCAATCCCCGCATCCCATAGGGTCCCCGAGCACTGCCAGTGTGGCCTCATAAACCAAAAAAAGTCTCCCTGAATTCAGCTGCGAGGAAACCGAAGGGACACAGCTGTGGACGGGGAAGTCCCCCAGGTACATCCGCAGAGCTGGAAGCCAAAATTCCGTTGCCATGACTCAGCCCAAGGGGGATGTAGAGCAATGGGCAAGATGACCCCCCTGCCCCGGGCGGGAGCAGAGTTTGGCAGCCAAAGAAGAAAATGAAAGGGCTGGAATCCTCAGATTAGACCTGGGGCTGGGGGGAGGGCAGGTAACGTGGGATTAAGCGCGGGGAGATCCCTAAGGCAGGACCTGTGCCGGAAGCACAGGACACGCAGGGGCACAGCAACCCCCCTGGAAGGAGCTTCGGGACCGCGAGATGGAGCAGGAAAATCTCCCCGACATCCCCCACACTCTGGGGATTTGGAGAGGAACAACTTGGTGGTCTCTCCATCCTACAGGGACCTACAGAGGTGCCAGCATTCCTGCCCCGGGCATCCACAGTCAACATCCGGGGGGATGAGGGGAAGGGACTTGCTTTGCATGCAGTTGACCCAGGTTCGATCCCCGATAACCCATAGGGTCCCTGAGTGACCTGGGTTTGATCCCCAATAACCCAAAGGGTCCCTGAGTGACCCAGGTTCAATTTCAATAACCCATGGTACCTCTGAGTGACCCGGGTTCGATCCCCGATAACCCATAGGGTCCCTGAGTGACCCAGGTTCGATCCCCAATAACCCCTAGGGTCCCTGAGTGACCCAGGTTCGATCCCCAATAACCCATAGGGTCCCTGAGTGACCCGGGTTCAATCACCAATAACCCATAGGGTCCCTGAGTGACCCAGGTTCGATCCCCGATAACCCATAGGGCCTGAGTGACCCAGGTTCGATCCCCGATAACCCATAGGGCCTGAGTGACCCAGATTTGATTCCTGATAACCCAAAGTTCCTGAGTGCAGAGCCAGGAGTCAGCCCTGAGCACAGCCAGGCGTGACCCTCATAAAAAAAAAAAAGAATGAAATAAAAGAACAAAACTTGAAGTCCCAGGTGGATGTAGTACCCCCAGACTAAAGTGAAAAGGTAAGAAATACTTGGTGAGCCAAGAGCTAAGTGGGAACGAGAGGAGGGAGACCCAGGCTGCCCTGGACGCAAGGCTGGAAGGTTCCAGCACGAGGGGAAGATCTTAGATGGACAGCGGACAGTCCCCAGACCACTTCACACAAGTGGACAAAGCAAGCAAAGAGAAAAATAAGACAAAGATGAGCTCCCTGTCGGGGCCGGAGTGACAGTCCTTCAGGATAAGGCACTTGCCTTGCACAGAACTGACCCGGGTTCGACCCCCGGCACCTCCAGAAACTCACCAAGGAGGGATCCCTGAGCACAGAGCCAGGAGTCAGCCTGAGCACCGCCGGGTGTGGTCCCAAAGCAACAAAACCAACTTGTTCTTCCGTGTCAAGAATGGGGACTCCCCACCCCTCCCCACCCCTAACATTCCCGTTCGCACACCGTCGTCACCCAAGACACAGACAGACTGACAGACAGAAAGAGGCAGCAAGGAAGACCGAGGCCAGGGCGCGGTTCGCTGTGGAGAGGCCAGTTCTGGCCGCCAGCCCAGTCCCACACTCGCCATCTGTGGCTATGTGGCTCAGTGACACAGACACTCCCCTTTCCTCAGCACACAGAACCCCCCACGGCCCCAAGGACAGAGACACCCACCACAGAACGTCATCTCAGTCCCTCAGAAGGTTCCAGAAGGCCCGAGCACAGACTGCTGAATCTTGGTACGAAAGTGCCCGGAACTGCCCGAAATCAAGCAACTCGGCCCAGTGCCCCTGAGCGCCGCCCTCCCCCAAGGGGCCCAGACCCTTGCAAGGACCAGTTGGTTTTCAGCGCCATCAACTTGCCCAGCCCGTGTGGGGTTCACCGAGCACCAAACACCTTGGGGGCAGATGTGCCTTTCCCAGATGTGTTTTCCCTGGTTTGGGAGGAGATTCGCCGAGGCCTACTTCCATGATGCTGGTTTCATCTCTCTCTCTCCCTCTCTCTCTCTCTCCCTCTCTCTCTCCTGTCTCTCTGTCTCCGTCCATCTCTCCATTTCTCTCTCCTTCTCTCTTTTTCCATCTCTCTCTTTCTCTGTCTCTCTCCATCTCTCCCTCTTTCTCTTTCTGTTTCTCCATCTCTCTCCCCCTCTCTCCATCTCTCTCTCCCTCTTTCACTTTCTCTGTCTCTCCATCTCTCTCTCCCTCGCTGTCTCTCTCCATCTCTCTCCATTTCTCCATATCTGTCTCGCTCTCTTCCTCTCTCCATCTCTATCTCTCTCACTCTTTCCTTCTCTCTCCATATCTCTCTCCCTCCCTCCCACCCTCTCTCCCCCTCCTCCTTCTCTCTCATCTCTCTTTCTCCATCTCTCTCTGTCTCCCTCCATCTCTCCATATCTCTCTCCTCTCTCCATTCCTCTCTACCTCTGTCTCTTTCTCCATCTCTCTCCCTCTCTCTCTGTCTCTCCCCATCTCTCCCTCTTCCACTTTCTCTGTCTCTCCATCTCTCTCTCTCCCTCACTGTCTCTCTCCATCTCTTTCCATCTGTCTCTCTCCATCTCTCTCCATATCTCTCTCCCTCCCTCTCTCCCTCCTCTCTCTCTCTCTCTCTCTCTCTCTCTCTCTCTCTCTCTCCCCCCATCTCTTCCTCCCTCCGTCCTTCTCTCTGTCTCGCAGCTCAGGATGCTTCGGCTGTACCCAGGAGAGCCGCAGGTGCCGGGGAAGGCCCGGGCAGGGCCGTGGTTACCTGGTGGGATGCGGCGGGCAGGCTCTTTACCAGCCCCTCCGTGTCCGAGGGGGACTTCCTCGGGGCCTGTTTAACTGGCGAGAGACCCTCAGAGGTGCTGCAGCTGATGGGATGGGGGGCGGGAGAACAGAAGGCGAAAAGAACAACAAATTAAAAGAAACAGATGACATGGGCGGGCGAGGACTCGTGAGGGATGCAGGAGATGGACGCAGACCAGACACGCTGCTCACGGGGACGGAGGGGTGGGGCGGGGAGACGGTCTCAGGGACCCGGAGACCTTTGCTTATCTCTGACTTGGGTCTCTCTGAGGTCAACACAACTGCGAGGGTCGGGGGGGGTGACTGGGGGCCAGGAGACAGACCCTTGAGGGGGAGGCAGGCTGGGGATGCTGGAGTCAGCGGGGGAGGGGCGAAACCCTGCGGTACCCAGTACCCACTTCCCTCCTCACGCCCCGCCCGTTCCCCCATCCATCGGCCGGCCTGGGGACAGAGACTTCTGGGGGAGTCACGGGCCGGAGCGACAGGACAGCGGGGAGGGCGCTGGCTTTGCACGCGGCTGACCTGGGTTGGATCCCCGGCATCCCATAGGGTCTCCCTTCAGGAGTGAGCCCTGATACCTGAGCGCACGCAGAGGCAGGAAGTCAGCCCTGAGCATCGCCGGGTGGGACCCCACTCAGAGATGGAGAAGGATGGAGAAAGCTCCCCTCGCCCAGGTGATGCTTTGCGGGGGGGCCTAGCAGAGTGTTTACTCGGCAGCTCCATCTTGGGCCCTAGCCATGGGCCTGGCCGACCCCTGTTCGATCCCCGGCACCCCATAGGGTCCCCCGACTAGGTCATGTGCCCGCTGACTGCTTTGGAGCCACACTCGGCGGTGCTCAGGGATCACTCCCGGCGGGGCGCGGCGGGGGGGACTAGATGCAGTGCTGGGGATGGAACCTTGTGCCAGGCAGGCGACCCCCCCACCCCGTACTGTCTCTCCCGCCCCTGGGCTGAGTACTCTCAGGCACACAATCCAGGTATGGAAAAGAGACACACACACACACACGCATGTCACCCATCCCCGCACCCCCGTTTTCCAGGGTGGCGGGGCGTACCCCGTTTGTCGCACAAACTAGGGCAAATCTGTGGATGTCAACCCCCCCCCCTCCCCAAATAGCGCATTAGCGTGAAGTCAAGCTGATTAGTGTGGAGAGGGGAGGAAGGACCGAGGACACAGAGGGGGACATTATCAGCCACAGTGGGGGGGGGAGGGGGGCAGAAATTAGTTACCATGAGTCTAGGGGCCCAGCGGGGACCCCCGGCCCTGCTAAAAGTCCCCCGGTCGGCCGCGCCAGCAGTTCTTAAGAAGCAGAAGAGAAACGGGCTCTGATTCGCGCATACCCAGCCAAGGGAGGCAGGGGGGGAAGAGAGAAAAAATAACAAAACAGGACAAAACAACAAACAAAAGTGAGAAGAGCAACAAAACCCACCAGGCCATGCAGGACACCCCCCCCAAGGCCCCCAGGCACGCACTTCCGACCGGGTGGGTGCATGACCCCCAACATCACCACCACCACTAGGCATCTTGGCAGCAGCTTAAGTTGGGGTACTCCCTACGGCGGACCCCGCTGACCAGGTTCCAAGCAGGTAGCAACCGAGCACGACACTCAAGTCATTAGACACAGCAACAACTGTCCCCTGCACGCCCCCCACTACCTCGAAATAGGGCCGCAGAGCCGGGGAGAGGAGGGGCGAGGAGAGGGTCCCACCTCACCAGCCAGGGGGGCAGGACATGCAGTGCCCGGACAGCGGTTGCCTTTGGGGGGGGGGTCCCACCTCACCAGCCAGGGGGACAGGACATGCAGTGCCCGGACGGTGGTTGCCTTTGCGGGGGGGGGGGGGGGTCCCCCTGCGCCTGGCCACATGAATCCGGCCCGCACCCCTTCCTAGGGCGCCCAGCGGGGAGCTTCTGGGCTGGTCGGACCCCCGACCTCTCAGAGAAGCATCCAGCCCACCCCCTGCAAAGAGAGAGGCTGCAGAGCTGGGTTCCAAGCCGAGCCCCCCTCCCCCACCCAGGCGGGCTGGAGAAGACGCCAAGCGATGCAAGTGCCCCAGAGAGAGAGAAGCCCACCGTGGGGGTGTCGGGGGGCTTTGCAGCCCGACTCTGCTGGCGACCAGATGGGCGTTTCCCTAAGGGGGAGGAAGGAGCCTCGGGTGATGCTGCTGGACCACGGGATGCCCCTGGGAGCATCCTGCAGGCGGCAGTCCTGAGCGCATGCGCGCGCGCCCCTGCGCGCCCGGCGGGCACCTGCCCGTCCTCCCGCCCCACCCGCGTGCCCCAACCGCGCCTTACCCGGTGTAGTCGCGCTTGAAACTTCCCTTCCGATGCAGTACCAGCAGCACGAGGGCGGCGAGCAGCGTGAGGCCCAGCACCACGGCCGACACGATGCCCACCACCACCCAGACGGGGAACACGGGCAGGTTCTCTGCAGGGAGGGGGACAGGTGGGGTGGGCGTCAGGGCTCGGCCGCAACGGGACCCCGGAACCCCCGGCAAACTGTCTGGAGGGAGCCAGACCCCACGTGTGCTTTCGTTTTTCTTTTCTTTTCTTTTCTTTTTTTTTTTTTTGGAGGGGGGCTACACCTGGCTGTGTTCAGGGCTGAGTCCTGGTGGGTCTGGAGGGGACCCGATGGGATGCCGGGATCGAACCCGGGTTGGCCGCCTGCAAGCCAACGGGGCCTCCCGCCTGCCTGGGTGCTCCCTGTGGCTTCTCAGAGGGGACCGAGAGCTGTTTCTTGTTGCCGTCGTTTTTTATTTTTTCTTTTTTGGGGGGCCACACCCAGCGATGCTAGGGGTTACTCGTGGCTCTGCACTCAGGAATCACTCCTGGCGGTGCTTGGGGGACCTATGTGATGCCGGGGATCGAACCTGGGTTGGCTACGTGCCAGGCAAATGCCCTCCCCGCTGTACTATCGCTCCGACCCTGCGATCGGTTTGTTTTTTGTTGGGGATTTTTTGGGCCACACCTGGCGGGGCTCAAGGTTGACTCCCAGCTCTGTGCTCAGGAGTCATTTCTGGGGTGCGTGCGGGGCCTCCCCCTGGACTCTATCTCGGCCTCCACTGCTTCTGGGTTTTAACAGGGGAAAACTTCCCTCCCAGACAAAAATCGAAAAAGTAGCAAACGTAACTCCCACTCCCACCCGGCCAAGCTCTCATGACTGCTCTCATTTCTCGTTCGGACTGGGGGCCAGTGATCAGTCCTTACTCCTGGCTCTCCATTCAGGGGTCACTCCTGGTGGAGCTGGGTGGGGGGACCACATAGGGTGGAGGATTAAACCCAAATTGGAGTCTGGAGTGACAGCACAGCGGGGAGGGTGTTTACCTCACATGTGACCAACCCAGTTCAATCCCTGGCACCCCATAGGGTCCCCTGAGCACCACCCGGATTTATTCCTGAGTGCAGAGCCGGGAGTCAGCCCTGAGTGTTGGGTGTGGCCCCCAAACCAAAAAAAAAAAAAAAAATCATAAAATCCTGGCTGGTCACTTGCAAGGCAGGTGCGCTAACCACTGAACCATCTCTCTGGCCCCTAATCTCACTTCTGATCAATGCTGAAGGACGGGGACAGAGGCTGCTCCAGTGGGGATGTGTGGGTCTCCACCCAGGGAAGTGCCCTGCCTGGTCTCTGACAGGGATGCCCAGGGCTCAGAGGGGGTCGGAGGCGGGGGGGGGGGGGGGGGGGCGGGGGGGGGAGGGGCCGCACCTTTCTCCACCACATGTAGCCGGATGTGTCCGGGCTGTGCCACTATGTCGGGGGGGTTCTTGACGTCGCAGATGTAGGTACCGTTATGCATGAACTGTATGTTCTCGATGCTGATGGACGCGTCCTTCTTGTCCAAGTCTCCGGCCCAGCTGATTCGGTCCTTAAAGGGCGCGTAGTTCCCGACATAAACTTGTCCTTGAGAGTAGTGGAAAAACTGCGCAGAGGAAAGGGGGGTGGAGGGGACCAGTGAGCGACGAGCGACTCGACGAAGGCCACCCAGGGGGAACTTGACGGAAGGGCGGGGAGGGAAGTTCCCCGGGTCAGTCAGGTGTCCCTACCGACACACTGGAGAATGTCCCCTCCGGCTGGAAGCTCCAGGTGACCGAGGTCAAGGTGCCCGTCATATTCACGGACTTGAACTTGCACGGTAGCTTCCCCTGCGTCCCGTTGGCCACAAAGATTTCCTTGGGCGTGTAGACTTCCAGGGCCGCGACACCAGTGGTGGTCACTGCAGAGGGGAAGGAGGAGGAGGAGGAGGCCGGGTGAGTGCCAGGCCCCCGCGATGTTGACGTTACCCCACAAGCGAGACGGGTGCATGACATCCGGCCGCCGGCAGCCCAATTGCCCGTTCCCCCGCAGAATGTCCCAGTCCACAGTGGGACTTGCCAGTGGCCAGAACTGTGTGGCAGTTCGTGCCAGCCTGGCTGTTATTGGGGGGCCAGAGAGGCGGCTACGGTGTGCAGGGCACTTGCCTTGCATGCGGCCAACCCGGGTTCGATTCCCAGCATCCCATATGGTCCCCTGAGCACCGCCAGGAGTGATTCCTGAGTGCAGAGCTAGGAGAAACCCCTGAGCATCACGAGGTATGACCCAAAAAAGAAAAAAGAAAAGGTGCCTTAGGGAAGGGATAGGAAATAGTTGTATGTGGGGCCGGAGTGATAGCACAGCAGGGAGGGCGTTGGCCTTGCACACGGCCAACCCGGGTTCGATCCCTGGCATCCCATAGGGTCCCCTGAGCACCGCCAGGAGTAAGTCCTGAGTGCAGAGCCAGGAGGAACCCCTGTGCATCTCCAGGTGTGACCAAAAAACCAAAATTTTTTTTAAAAAATTAAAAAAAATAATAAAAACCATTTATTATGAGGGGAAAGGGGCTGGAGTGATAGTACAGCGGGTAAGGCATTTGCTTTGCACGCAGCCAACCCGGGTTTGATTCCCAGCATCCCATATGGTCCCTGAGCACCGCCAGAAATGGTGTTTCAATTAATAAGATTGAAGATCTTGCTCAAATAAAATCATTCTGCAGAAGTGACATGAGAATCTCGCCACATTTCTTTTCTTTTCTTTTTTTTTTTTAAAGAAGAAGAGAGGGCTGGAGCGATAGCACAGCAGGTACGGCGTTTGCCTTGCAAGTAGCCAACATGGCCGACCCGAGTTCGATTCCTCCGTCCCACTCAGAGAGCCTGGCAAGCTACGGAGAGTATCTTGCCCGCACGGTAGAGCCTGGCAAGCTCTCCGTGACGTATTCAATATGCCAGACACAGTAACAACCAAGTCTCACAATGGAGACGTTACTGGGCCCTCTTGAGAAAATCAATGAACAATGGGAGGACAGTGACAGTGACAGTGTGAAGAAGAAGAGAAACTATTTTAGGGGCTAAATAAAGGTCAGAAAGAAACTTATTTGGAGACCTGAGTGATAGTACAGCGGGGTACGTGTTTGCCTTGCACATGGCCAACCTGGGTTCGATCCCCGGCTTCCCATAGGGTCCCCTGAGCACCGCCAGGAGTGATCCCTGAGTGCAGAGCCAGGAGGAACCCCTGAACATCACCGGGTATAACCAAAAAAGCAAATAAATAAATAAATAAATAAATCAAGCACCAGTTGGCAGCAAATATAACACACACACACACACACACACACACACACACACCCCGTGTTCTCATCAGCCCCAGAACGTGGAATAAGCAAGGGGTGTTGTCACTCAGCGGCAGAGCTGGGATTTTTCTTCCCTCCTGAGGCTTATCTGTGTGACTCTGGGGGCGCCTCCCCGCCCCCGGAATGGGACCCTTCCCCTCCGAGTGACCCCCCTCCCCCAGCGTCCAAATGTTTGGTCTCCGAACACAATGAGCACTTTAGACTCCCCTTCTTACACACGCTGATGCCACACAGCTGTAGGCCCGGCCCTTTTCTATATAATAATCGCCGAGAGGGTGGATTATTATTCTAGGGAACAACGGGTGATTCTTTGCAGTCCAAACCTCAGAAACAAGCCCTCCTTTCAACAGAAGCAAACAAAAAGGACGTCCCTCGCCACGGTGGGCCGGAGAGGAGGCGCTGGAGATCGCCCCGGAGGGAGGACCTGAGGCGGGGCCAGGCGGGCACCACCAGCGCTGGCCTGGACCATCGTCACGCCCGGGAGCCGGGGCATCCCTGGTCCCCACCTTGGGCTGTGCCAACATCCTCTTGATTCCTGTGCCCTCTTTGCTGTTCCAGAGCATTCCTGGCCTGTTTCCTCTCTTCCTTCACTGTCGGGCAGGATGAGGGATCAAACTCGGGGCCTCGCTGGGGGCTGGAGCGATAGCACAGCGGCGGGGAGGGCGTTGGCCTGGCACGTGGCCGGCCCGGGTTCGATTCCCGGCATCCCATAGGGTCCCCTGAGCACCGCCAAGGGTGATGCCTGAGTGCAGAGCCAGGTGTATGTAACCCCTATGTGTTGCCAGGTGTGACCCCCCCAAAAAAATCAAACTCGGGGCCTCGCAATGGCGAGGCAGGTGGCCCCGTCCCCTCCTTCTCGGGGTCTCCCGGTGGGAATGCGGTAAGCCCACCGCGGGCAGGAGGCCGCCAAAGAAAGCAGAGGCCCAAGCAACAGAGGACAGCAGGGAGGGCACTTGTCTTGCGCACGGCCGACCTGGATGCAGTTCCCCGGCATCCCATAGGGTCCCCTGAGCACAGAGCCAGGAGTCAGCCCTGAGCACTGCTGGGTGGCCCTTAAACAAACAAAAAGCATGGGGTGGGGAGTCTGGCCCTGGCGCTTGAGGAGACAGGAAAGGTGTGTCCAGGTGGCTACAGTCTACCTGCCTGAGTTGTACTGGCAAGAGGGTGTCGTTGTACATATCCTTGGCAGAATAAGCTCCCCACCCAGGGCCGGAGCCATCGCATGGCAGGGAGGATGCTCGCCCGGCATGGAGCTGACTCGGGTTTGGTGCCAGACGCCACGCAGGGTCCCCTGTCACCGCCAGAGCAATTCCCAGCACAGAGAGTGTCCCGAGCACGTCCCTGGGCCCCCAAACAGTAACCAATGTTGGGCTGGAAGGTTTAAGATCCTCCTCTCCCAGTCTGAGAGCAGATGTCGGCGCAGAATCTTCACCCCCACCTAATCGTTACAACCCGGCATGCTGCTACAAGTGTGTTTTTATTTATTTATTTATTTATTTATTTTGCCTTTTGGGTCACACCAGCATGCTCAGGGGTCACTCCTGGCTCTGCACTCAGGAACCACTCCTGGTGGTGCTCGGGGGACCCTATGGGATGCTGGGGATTGAACTCGGGACAGCCGCGTGCAAGGCAAAAGCCCACCCTGCTGTGCTATCGCTCCGGCCCCAACTGGTACAAGTTTAGGACAAAGAGAAAGACTCCATTCATAACCCATTTATTCTGCAAAAAAAAAAAAAGATTCTTGCTTGTTTGGGGGCCACACCCAGCAGTGCTCAGGGCTGACTCCTGGCGGGCTCCGGGGACCGTCTGGGATGCCGGGGATCGAACCCGGGTTGGCTGTGTGCAAGGCAAACGCCCTCCCCGGTGTACTATGGCTCTGGCCCCATTTCTGCAAACAAGATTCACAGTACCAAGTCTGTGATGATTACACGGTGAGACGCAGGCTGTGTTTGTTCACTCTCCCGGTGAGCTTGGGACCCCCAAGTGGTAGATAGCGCCTAATGCCAAAGACCCCGGTATGCATGCGTGCGCTCACACACACACACACACACACACACACACACACACACACACACCCCTACAAATGCATGCACATACATGCACATGGCATGTACCCACGTGCACACCTATACATATACCTAACACAAGCGTGCATGGCATGCAAATACATGCACACACATGCACACAATACACATTTGCACACGTGCTCACACACACACACACATGCCCGCGCACATACAGATGCCCCCCAGAGCGGGCCTTCAGGCTCCCTCGTGCCAGGGACCAGCGGCCCCCCCGCCCTCCAGCCCAAGATTCAGGCGCAGGTCCTTCTTCTGAGTCCCTTTCGTGCCCCGCCCCGCCCGTCTACACCACATCCTCCTGGTCTACACCACTTCCACTTTCACTCGAGTCACGTCCTGAGCTGATCCCTGGTTCCACACTCACCTGCAGCCCCAAATAAATAATCCCAGGCCCGCCCTCCCAGCAGGAGGCCCCAGATGAAGTGTCCCACCCCCTCAGCTGTGGGGCTCCCATGGGGGACAAATCCCCCCTAGTCCCAAGTGATGTCCCCGCATCCCGCTTTCCCCCACGATCAGACGTGATTCCTGCACTCTGGTTTGGGGGTCACCCCCGGCGGTGCTCAGGGCTGACTCCCAGCTCTGCGTCAGGAATCACTCCTGGTGGTGCTCGGGGGACCCCATGGGATGCCTGGGATCGAACCCGGGTCAGCCGCATGCAAGGCCAACGCCCTCCCCGCTGAGCTATAGGTCCGGCCCCACTTTCTCTTTCAACCAATGCCTTCTAGCTGGCCAACACCAATAGCGTTTGCAAAAATGACCAAGACCACCCTGAACGCTTTCGACGGGGACACTCAGTTCCTCTTGCCCTTTACTTTTTTTTTTTGCTTTTTGGGACACAGCTGGTGATGCTCAGGGCTGACTCCTGGCTCTGCACTCAGAAATCTCTCCTGGCGGTGCTCAGGGGGACCCTATGGGATGCTGGGATTCAAACCCGGGTCGTCCGTGTGCAAGGCAAACACCCTCCCCGCTGTGCTATCACCCCAGCCCCTCGCCCTTTACTTTATTCTATCTGGGGCCACCCCTGGCAATGCTGGGGCGAGGGGTGGTCATACGGGATGCTGGGGATCGAACCCGGGTCAGCCGCATAAGCTCCCTGGCTGTTGGACCTCGACCTGCCCCCTCCTCCTCCCCTTCAGAGGAGAGAACCCAGAGAGATGCCCACCTCAGGGCCTGGGAGCCCCAGCACCACGCGCTTGCCCCGAGCCTGGCCCCGGCTGCTCCCGAACCCTTCCGGCGCCCACAAAGCTCTTTCTGTCGGGCCAGAGATGCTGCCCGGGCTCCTGAATCGCGCCAGTCACCGCACTGGTCACTCGCCTCCTCCCATCCTGGAGGCATCTGTCCAGGCCTGCTAGGTCCGTCTGCTCCTGCCCTCCCTCCCTCCCTCCCTCCCTCTCTCTTTCTCTCTCTCTCCCTCCCTCCCTCTTTCTCTCTCTCTCTCTCCTTCCATCTCTCTCCTTCCTTCTCTCTCCTTCTCTCTCTCCCTCCTCTCTC